GATTTTTAATCCTGAAGAACTCCTTTAATTAATAATGTGCTTATAAACACAGTAGATATTTGCTATTTCAAGAAAAAAAGCATAATTTAAGATTGTATCCTTAAGTGTCCGACTACTAGTGCATTTACCCTACTTTTTTAGAAGCTAGTTTTTTATTAATTTTCATTTTCATAAATTTACACTTGAAGATTATCAGGGTTGTCACAAATATTTAATTTTATTTTTCCCTGACTTTTCCCTGATTTCCAGAAAAAATTCTCACTTTTTTCCTGACCCTAAAAAATATTCTGATTCACTCTAAAAATTATTAGAAAATAAAAAAAAATATTCTATTACATTTATTTACTAATTTCATTAATATTGTAAAATTATTCAAAAACATCAATAATTTCTTTTTTAAATAAATTATTTAATCATTATTATTTTTCCGTGGGAATTAAAATTCTTCAATACATTCAAATTCAAACCTTTTTGAAATTCAACAATTTATGTTTTGTTATAATTTAAATTACCATGAAATTTTTCAAAAAAAATTTATTATTCACAAAAATCCTAAGAATATCCTTCGCAAGAATTTAATTATTTTTAAAAAGTAGTAAATTTTCTCAAAAAAATTTAATTATTTGAAAAAATTGTAATAAAATTCGTTGCAATAATTCAATTATTTTCATAAATAATAAATCGATTATTCGGTAATTCATTTTTTTAAATCAATTTTTATTAGAAAATTCTAAAAGAATTCAATTATTTAAATTAAAAAATAAATAATTTATTGAATAATTGAATGTTTGTTAAAATTGAATTCTCATAAAGAATTTTATCAATAGATTTTTAAATAATTCAATTATTTTGACAAATTTTAATGAAATTTTTAAGAATAATTACATTATCGAGGAATTTGATTAAAATAAAAAAATTGTATCAAAAATTAATTAAAATCCTGCGATGAGTTTTATTATTTATGAAAATAATTAAAAATTTTCCCAAAAATGTTATTGAAATTTTTCTAAAATAAATTGAATTTCGGTGAAGAATTTTATTATTTATAAAAATAATTGAATTCTTTGAAAAGAATTTTGTTAAATTTTTTTTTAAATAATTAAATTCATGCGACGAATTTTATAAAAATCTTTTTAAATAATTGATATTTTTCGAAAAACTTTATGAAATTTTTTATATTAAATAATTGAACTCATGTAAAAATTTTATTATTTATGAAAATAATTAAATTATTTCAAAAAAATTTATTAAAAATTTTATAAATTATTGAATTCTTGTGAAATTTTAACAAGAATTTTATTCAACTTTTTAAAAATAATTGAGTTTTGAAGAAGAATTTTATTATTTATAACGATAATTGAAATTTTGACAAGAATTTTTAAAAAATTTTTTAAAATAATTGAATGTTGAAGAATTTTATTGTTTATAAAGATAATTAAAAGTTTGACAAGAATTTTTTTTAAATTTTTGAACATAATTGAATTTCTGCGAAGAATTTTATTACTTTTGAAAATAATTTAATTCTTCCAATGAATTTTATTCAAGTTTATAAAAATAATTGAATTTCGGTGGAGAATTTTACTATTTCTAAAAATAATTGAATTCTTGAAAAGAACTTTGTTAAATTTTTTTTAAATAATTGAATTCCTGCGACGAATTTTATAAAATTCTTTTTAAATAATTAATATTTGTCGAAATTCATCATTTAAATTTATAATAGGAAATCAAACCTTCAAATAATTTTTTAAAAAAATCCAATAAAATTTTTTCGAAAAAATTAATTCTACAAAATTGTTAGTTAAAAATATGAAAAATTCAAATTTTCAAATATTTTAATTCGAAACCTTTTTAAAATTCAAATATTTCTAAAAATTCACGAAATAATGCTTTTAATATTCAATTATTATGTAAAATTTTGCCTAAAACGGCCTTGGCAAAACCCGAATTGCCTAGGGAAATCGGGTTTATTAAAATTTTTTTTAATAATTGAATATTCTGGTAAAATTTTTTATTATTTGTGAAAGTAATTGAATTCTTGTGATGAATATCTTCATATATTCATGAATTCTTGTAATGAATTTTACAAAGAATTTTATTTAAATTCCTGAAAATAATAGAATTTCTGGAAAAAATTTTGCATATTTATCAAAATAATTAAATTCTTTCGAAGAATTGCGTTAAAACTCTTGAAATAATTATTAGGTACATATAATTTAAAAAAAAAAACATGTGGCAACCCTGTTTTTTATATCTTTTGGCTTAAGCACAAATTTCCTGTCATCCTTATTAACAAAGAACAAAAACAAATAAACTTTACATTAAAAAATATAAACATTTGTAAAATTGTTTACTCACCGTTGAATAGAACAATGTCGAAACACACAAATATCCTTCTCAATAGATTACTCCTTTTGGACTGAATTTAATGTTACAAGAGTAATAAGGAATAAAATAATTTTTCCACATAATGAATATTGTTCTGATAAATAATTCCCATGAATGTTTCGTATAAGGAAGAAAAAATTATTTTATGAGGAAAATAGATAGAAATTTTGGAAACTAAAAGTAATTTTAACTCTCTTGAAGCTCAAAGACCGTTCATTACATATTTATGCCACTCTATGGAAGAATCGTATAATAAAACTTTTCCATTATTTCCAATGCGTATATATCAATTCTAAATTATTCTTTCTCTAGAAATTATTTTTCATGTTCTATTTGAGAACACATCAAAAAGTTTCATAACAAATAAATTCTCAATTTTTTTTCACACACCTATACTTAGCAACTCAAATTTTTACAAAAAAATTTTCATTTCAACATTTTAATTCAAAATTCTAACATTTTTACTTTATGAAGTTTTATTTAACTTCACGGCTAGAAATATTGAGTTCTATTTCTTTTTGCAAATGTAAAAAGAAAAGAAAAATTCTTTCTCAAATAGGCAACCCTTTTTCTCCATTTTAAATTTTATCAAAAATCATTTTATAATAACTTTTAAATAAAAATCAAAGTAATTTGTATTTTATATACCGAAAAAATTGTATTTTGTTGCAATTTTTTTGGAAAAAGATGCAATAATTCGCATTTTTTAAAAATAAATCCAAAAACTTTGCCTTCTTTTGCAAATAGACGAAAAAATTCTAAAATCATTTTGGAACTTGTTTTTAATATTCACAAATAATATTCTCGTTTAAAAAAATATAATTTTATGGAAAATTTTTTAATTTTGAATTTGCAACAATTTAATTTTTACATTACATTTTATTAAGATTTCTAGAAATTATTATTTCTTTCCAGAATGAATTCTTTAGAGAAATTTTATTAAAATTATATTAAAAATATTTAAATTTCCTGCGAAGAATTTTTTTATTTATGAAAATAATTGAATTCTCGCGAGAAGAAAATAGGTAGTATAAAAAAAAGAAGCTATCGAAAAATTAAACTTGACTCATTTTTTTTATAATTTCTTAATTGCATTCAAAAATAGAATAATTTTTTACAATAAATATTTAAATACCTATTTATTTTGTCTACAGGAATTTAAATATTTCAAATGATTTCAATGTAACGCATTTTTGAAATTTAACTATTTTTAAAAATTTCTTTTAAAATTCAATAATTTTTTTCTTGAAATTTAAAAAAAAATTATTCAAAACTTTAATCATTTTATTTTATTCAATTCTAAATCAATTCTTATTAGAAAGTTCTACGAGAATTCAATTATTTAAATACAAAAATAAATTATTTATTGAACAATTTATTGAATATTTCTTTTTGAATTCTTATAAAGAACTCTATCAACATTTTTTTAAATAATTGAATTTTTACGAAGAATTGCATTACAATTTTTGATAATAATTAAATTCATTCAAGAAATGTAACTGAAAATAACTTGAAAATAATTATGACACTCTAAGAAACAAATTATATCAAATTTTTTTAAATAATTGAATTTTTTCGAAGAATATTATTCAAATTTTTAAGAATAATTGCATTTTTTGCGAAATAAATTTAAAACTGTATTAAAAATAATTGAAATTTTGCGATCAGGTTTACAATTTATAAAAGTAATTGAATTCCGACGACGATTATTATTAAAATTTGAAAAATATTTGAATTCCTGCGATAAAATATTGTTGTGAAGAATTGATTTTGTTTGACAATTATTAGAAAAATTCTGTTTTGAATAATTGAATTCCTGTGAAAATTTTTTTATTTATTGAAATTACAACGATTATTATTATAATTTTTAAAAATATTTGAATTCTTGAGAAGAATTTTATTATTTATAAAAATAATTGAATTCTTGCGAAGAATTTTATAAAAATCTGTTTATAAATAATTGATTTTTTCGAAAAATATTAAGAAAATTCTGTTTTAAATAATTGAATTTCTGGGAAAATTGTTTTATTTATGAAAATTTTTGTGAAAATAATTAAATTGTTTTATTGAATTTTAATTAGAATTTTTTGAATTTTTTCAAAAAACATTTTTTACAAATTTTTAAAAGTAATTTTTTTATTTCAACTATTAACAAATTTAAAGTAGTGAATGTTTTCATTTTCCGCATGTTTTAAAGTTAAAATGTTTATATATCATATGTACCTTCTTTCAAAAGCTTTAAAAATTTATTACCATAAACAATTAAATTTATTATAAACAAATTATTTACTTTTTAAACAAATAAATGTCTTATTTCTGCAAACAAAAAATTTTCTTCTTTTCCTTTTTTTATATTTACTTGCATAAAAATGAAGTATACTCAAGGAAATGGGAATGTGTCAAATAACATGTATAATAATAAGAATTTATTTCATTTTTATAAATATTATAAGTTAACAACAATTATATTTTGCTATTTTTCTAAATACAAATTTTTATTATTTATTTACATTTAAATTTACGGTTATTTAACAAAAAATTACGTACTTGTTTTCGAAACTTAATTATATAATTAATTATTTTAAATTAAAAATTAAAAAAAATTTTGTTTATAGATGTGCGGATAAACGTGAATCCAATGTTTCTGATAGAAGGCTCAGAAGGAAGTGGGAAATTTAAATTAGTGCAAATTGCCTCACGGCAATTGGGCTTGCATTTATATGATATAGACTTTAGAGAGATACAGACCTTAACTTCTGTACAAACTGAAGCAAAACTCCGAATAGCGATATCTAATGCAGAACACTGTCTTCCATGTATTTTATGCTTCCGCAACATTCAGGTAGAGTAGTACCTAATAAGAAATTATCACATTTTTTTTAATTTTCATCATTACCTTCATTTGTTCTAAGCTACGAAAATTGTTTGAAAATTCAAAATGGCGGAAGAATTTTTTAAAAATTTATCGGATGCTTTTGAAACTTGTTACTCGGAGGTTTTTGAGGTCGCTGATTACGAATATGAAATCCGTTTTTCAAAATTCGAAATGGCGGATGAATTTTTAAAAATTTATTGGATTTAGCGATTATATTAATTCTTTTTATAATATAGATATTTGGAATAAATGCAGAGGGGAAAAAAGATGAGAGAATTATTTCTGCTTTCGAGAAAGAAATAAAGAAAGTGTTCGATGCAAACTTGAATTATCCCCTTATCGTAATAGCGACATGTGAAAACTCAGATCTTCCGGTGAAATTGAAACGACTATTTTTGGAAAAGATTACTTTAAGTCATCTAAGTCAAAATCAAAGATCAGAGATATTGTCCTATTTGTTGCAAATTAAAGGAATTGTTAATAAATCGGATTTACAAAAAATTGTAGGTCTTTGCTCAGACTTTGTTTTGGCAGATTTTGAAGCTTTAATATTACATGCTGTAAAAACAAAGTACAATAGAAACACATTGCCACAAACAAGTGATCAGTCTGCTGTTCTTTCAGAGGAGGATTTTAATAATGCATATGGTAAGAGTTAATAAATCGATATTAAGACAAATTTACCACTTTTTTGAACAAAAAAGCGTGTTTTTACATAACACGTTTTTTAAAATAATTTTTGGAACGCTTTTACAAAACACGTTTTTTAAAATAATTTTTAAGAAGCTTTAAAAAGCTTAATTAATTAAATAATAACAGTTTTGTTTAAATAAGCGAGCATACTCCAAAAGGTGGTCTTGTGAAATTATGCATTTAAATTCCAATAACTATAAAGCAGTGAAGTTTATGAAATTATTTTGTTTCAGAATATATGCAATCTATAATTTCCGACCGTATAGGCACTCCACACGTACCAAAAGTCTATTGGAAGGACATTGGAGGCATTGGAGATTTAAAACATGAAATTATAAAAAGAATTGAGTTGCCCTTATTGTATAATGTTGAAATAGGTCAGTCGGGTTTACTTCTGTACGGTCCACCTGGAACTGGCAAGACCCTCCTTGCCAAAGCTGTTGCCACTGAATGTCAACTTCATTTCTTCTCCATTAAGGGGCCTGAATTATTGAATATGTATGTCGGTCAGAGTGAAAAAAATGTACGCCAAGGTAAGAAAATTAATAGCTTATTGTATCAACTATTCACATTCGGTGTCAACATCCAGGGTTGAAAAACATTTCTAAGAACTTTTAGGGATTGAAAAATTAAAAAAAGAAATTATTCAAATTTTTTTTTACCTTTTTCTAAAATAATATTTAATATTTTGTTAAATAATTTTTGAAATTTTTTTAGAAATAAATAAAAAAAAATATATATTTTTGATTTTGTCAAACAAAATTTTGTTACAAAACTTTAATTTTTTTTATGAAAAAAAATGAAAAAAATTTGCATGATCTTGATTTTTCAATTATTATTATTACAAGATTTTATATTTTTTTTTTTTGAAAGAAGGCAAGAAAATGGCATAATTTCTCTTTCTCAATGACAATTTTTTAAAGACATTCAAATTTTTCATTAAAAATAAAGAAAAAAAGTTTATTGATTTTCTATTTTATAAATTTTTATAATTTGTACCTGATTTCAAAACTTGGCGCAACAAAGAAAAAAAATTAATATCAATAATTTTTTTAAAATAGTAAACATTTTTTAGAATTAAAATTAGTTAGTACAAACAAAAAATTAAGTCCATAAAAGTCCGTGTTTTGAAAAAAGGTCCGTAAAGTCTTTAATTTAATTGAGAAAAGATGAAAAGTTCGTAAATTGTACGATATAATTTGGTGAATTTTAGAAAAACTACAAATTGATTGCAGAAATTCAATTTTGTTCAAAAGCAATAAAATTCTTCGCAAAAGTTCAGTTATGTTTAAAATTTTTTTTAAATTCTTGTCAAAATTTCAATTATTTTTAGAAATAATAAAATTTTTCTCCGAAATTCAATTATTTTCAAAAATTATAATAAAATTCTTGGCAAAATTTTAATTATTTTCAAAAATTATCCTCAATTCAATGATTTTTATTAAGTATCTACTATTCTAATAAAATTTTCCAATAGAATTCAATTATTTAAAAAAAAATTTAATAAAATTCTACGCAAACCTTTAATTATTATTTTCATAAAATAATAAAAATTTTACAGAAATTCAATTATTTACAAACTTTTTAGCAATCATTCAATTATTTTCGTAAATAATAAAATTTTTACAGTGATTCAATTAATTTCGTAAATAATAAAATTCTTTTTAGGAATTCAATTATTTTCATAAATAATGAAACTCATTGCGGAATTTCAATTATTTTTAATAGAATTTTAATCGAATTCCTCGAAAAATGGAATTATTCTTAAAAATATTATTAAAATTTTATTAAAATTCGTCAAAAGTATTAAATTATTTAAAAATTTATTGATAAAATTCTTTATGAGAATTCAGTTTTAAGAAACATGCAATTATTCGATAAATTGTTTTTTTTTTGTATTTAAATAATTGAATTCTAGTGGAATTTAAATTTTCAAATCAAAATTAATTTAAAAATAGATTTGAGTTAAAATTTTAGATTATTATAATTGAATATTAAAAGCATAAAAGCTTAAATTTTTAGAAATAATTAAATTTTGAAAAGGTTTCAAATTAAAATCTTTGAAAATCAGAATTTTTCATACGTATTTAACTAACAATTCTGTGGACTTAATTTTTTTAAGAAAGTTTATTGCGGATTATATTGTGAAATTATTTAAAGGTTTTATTTTCTAATATAAATTTAATTGAAGAATTCACGAATTATTTAAATTTTTGTAAATTTGTTTTGTAAACAAATAAATATGAAAATTCTCAAGGAACTTTTTCAAAAATTACTAAAAAATAATGCATTTATAGAAGAATTTTAAGTTAAAAACACGATAAAAAAATTGAATTTTGGAAAAGTTAGAAATTATTGCACAAATTCAATTATTTTCAAGAGTAATTATTATTATGTTATAATTATTTTTATTTTATAATTAATTTAAAATTGTAATGACGAATAGAAATTTTCAGCATTTTTTTCACTTCTTTTCATTAAAAGACTAAAATTTTGTGAAATATTATGTTTTGTCAATTTGAAATTATGCAGATTTTTGTTCTTTACTTCTAAGGAAAATTAGAAAATTGTTAAACAATTGTGATTAAGAAATAGAAAATTTATTTATTTTGCATTATCTTTGTTTAAAAATCACAATTTTTTTTAACAAAATTATTATTTTGTTGTAGAAAAAGAAGAAAAATATTTGCAAAATTCATATTTTTTATCTTATTTTTGGAACATGATTTTCCACAGAAATTAAGACATTCAAAAATTTCAAATTCAAATCTTTTTTTTAAATTAAACAACTCATAAAAGTATTGTTAGAAAACATGAAGACATCGATTGCTCCGAGTCTTCGACTCGGAGTGATCGATTTCTTCATGTTTTCTAATAATTAAAGATGACTAAGAGATAAAATCATTATTTTATATTATAAGAATATTGTTACTGTAACTTCATCAAAATTATTTTCATCATTTTAATTAAATTCTTATTTTCTAGAATTTTAAATTATTTTTTATGAAAATAATAATTGAATTTCTTAAAAAAAATTTATTATTAATGAAAATTAAATTCCTGTGAAATTTTTATTATTTATGAAAATAATTAAATGTTTACATACAATTTTATTTAAATAATTGAATTCTTTTTGGGAAATTTTATTAAAATAGTAGATATTGAAAATCATTGAATTTAGAAAAGTGCATTTTATTTTTGAAAATAATTGAAATTAGGGCAAGAATTTTTTTGACATTTATGAAAATAATTGAACTTTAAAGAAGAATTTTGTTATTTATAAAGATGATTGGGATTTTTACGAGATTTTTTTTTAAATTTTGAACATAGTTGAATTTTATTCTTTTCTTTGAAAATAATTGAAGATAATTTGAAATAATTGAATTTCGGCAATTATTTGTAATTTCTCCAAAATTTAATTTTTTTTGGTGTTTTCAACAAAAATTTAGTCTCAATTTTTGAAAATAAGTCGAAAAAATCTCAATTTTCTAAATTTCCCTGACAACAAATTTTTTTCCCTGACATTTCCCTGATTTTACTGACAAAAATTTTGTTAGTTTTCATATTATTCACTAACAATGAGAAAATATCCGTTTCCTGCAAAAATAATAATGAATATTGCAATAATAAATATCTTTATTCCTTCGTTGTAGTATTCGAACGAGCCAGAGCTGCTGCACCATGCATCATCTTCTTCGACGAATTGGACTCATTAGCACCAAACAGAGGTCAAAGTGGTGACAGCGGTGGAGTTATGGACAGAGTTGTTTCTCAGCTTCTAGCAGAAATGGACGGTTTAGAAAGTTCAAATAACATTTTTATCATTGGTGCAACAAACAGACCTGACCTCATCGATCCAGCTTTATTGAGACCTGGAAGATTTGACAAAATGTTATACGTGGGAATTTACTCTGACAAGAATTCACAAATTAGCGTCTTACAAGCCCTGACGAGGAAGTTCAATTTGAAAAATAAGGGAAAGGAATTAGAAGCATTGGTTGATGAACTCCCCTCTAATTTAACTGGGGCTGATTTATACTCCGTTTGCTCTAGTGCTTGGCTTCTAGCGGTACGGAAAAGTCTCACAAAAATATCATCTACTGAAAATAAAGCAATGGAATCAAATTATACTAAAACTTCAATACACGATGAAATTGTAGTGGAATTGGATGATCTTATGACTGCAGCTCGTGACCTAACGCCTTCTGTTAGTTTGTCGGAGTTAAAAAAGTATGAAAAATTACGGGACAAAACAAAATAAAGTTTTTAATGTATTTTTTTAATAAAAATAATTATAACAAAAAAAAAATTTGGAATATTTGTTTGAATATAAACACCTGTTTCAATCATAGTTTTCCAGATTAATCATAGCTTCCAAATTGACTCATATAATTTTACAAACCTTATCGTGGTGGTTTTTAAGTTTCTTGATCAATCCCTTGATCTTGATCCTTTTATACTTCTCTCATGTATATTTTAATCTATCTATATTAACAACCGTTGTATTCCGGTAATATGTTCGAAGTTTGAAGTTAGCTGCTGTTTGTTATTTTGTTTCCTTAATATTTTAAATATATAATTTTTCTTATTAAATGTTTTCAATTTTAAAATTAATGTACTAAAAATCATTGAATTCCTGCAAAGTATTAATAAAAGAATTTGAAAATAATTGAATTGCTTTTAAGAATTTTATCAACATTTTTTTCCATAATTGAATTCTTTCAAAAAAATGTAATTAAAATTGTATTGAAAATAATTTAATTCTTGGCAAAATTTTTATTAAAATTCTTTAAAATAATTGAAATTGTCTTATAGAATTTACTTCAATATTCTTGAAAATAGTGGAGTTTTTTAAAAATAATTTTTACTGAAAACTTTGAAAGTAATTGAATTTTATCAAGAATTCAATTATTTTCAATAATTGTAATAAAATTCTTTGCAAAAAGTCAATTTATAAATAATAAAAATCTTCGTAAAAAATTCAATTACTTTTATATATACATAATAAAATTAATATCAGGCTTACACTTTAATTGTATATTATATAAAACAATTTTAATTGATTTCTTCGAAAATTTCAATTATTTTTTAAAATCTTGGAAAAATTCTCCGAGAAAATTCAATAATTCTATAAAAATAATTAAATCTTTCACAGAAGTTCATTTATTTAAAAATTTTCTTAAAAATTCAATTCAAGAATTTAATTATTTTCATAAATAATGAAATTTTCGTTGAAATTCAATTATTTTAAATTCAATTTTACTTGAATTCCAAGGAAAATTAAATAATTTTTAAGCTCTCCGTAAGAATTCAATTATATCAGTAAATAGTAAATTTTTCACAGAAATTCAATTATTTTAAATATAATTTAAATAAAATTCTTCTCAAAAATTCACTTATTTCTTTAAATTTTCCAAAAATTCAATTATTTGTAGAAATAATAAATACAAAATAAAAATTTTTTGTAATAATTACTATTTTTTTTAAGAATATTCATTAAATTCCATATAAATAATGAATTTTTTAAAAGTAATTTTAATTGAAAATTTTGAAAATATTTAAAATTTACAAAGAATTTTATTAAAAACTTTTAAGAACAATTGAATTATTTAGAAATTTTTTATTTAAAAATTTTACAATTTTTAAAAATAATGAAACTGTTACAAAAATTTTATTAAAATTATCTTGAATATAATTGAATTTTTTCCTATATAGAAATTTTGTTAAAATTGTATCTAAAAATAATTGAAATCCTGTGATTAGTATTACAATATTTATAAAAATAATTGAATAGTTTCAAAGAACTTTTTATCGGAATTGTTGAAAATAATTGATTTTTTATTAAAAATCTTGAAAATAATTAAATTTAAATAATATTTTTAAAAATAATTTTATTCTTTCGAGAAATTTTATTGAAATTGTATTGAAAATAATTGAATTCTTCCGAAACATTTTATTATTTATGAAAATAATTGAATTCCTTTGAAGAAATTTTATTATTTATGAAAATAATTGAATTCTTGTGGAGAATTTTACAATTTATAAAAATAATTGAATTTTTGAGAATAATTGAATTTGTTGAAGGAATTGTATGAAAAATTTTGGAAATAATGATTTTTTTAATAAGAATTTCATCAAAATTGTTGAAAATAATTGAATTTATACTAAAATTCTTGAAAATAATTAAATTGCTCTAAAGAATTTTATTATTTATGAGAATAAATTCTTGAGAAAATTTTTTTTTTTAAATAATAAACGAATATATAATATTATGTACTTAATAAGTAAATTCTTTAAATTTTGAATCTGTAATCATTTCAAAAATTGATGTTTATTCTTGAAAATATAAAATTTTTCAATTTACATTTTACTACTTAAAAAAATAATTGAATTATTTCAAAGGATTTATTAAAGTTTTAGAAAATAATTGTAAGCTTTCGAGAAATTTCATTAACATTGAATTTTAGGTAATTTAATAATTTGAATATTTTTCATGAAATTTATTAAACATCTTCAAAATTAATAAATTTTTCGAAGGAATTTTATACAGAAAAAAAAATTTTAAATAACGAGAAGGAAAAAATTTAAATAATTGAAAATAATTGAATTTTTGCAATTACTTTACTGTTTAAATAAATAATTGAATTGTTTCAATGGATTTATTAAAATTTTAGAAAGTAATTGAATTCTTTCATGAAATTTTATTAAAATTTTATTGAAAATAATTAAATTCCTGCGATGAATTTTACTATTTATTGAAATAATTGAATTCTCCCGAAGAATGTTATTATTTACGAAAATAATTGAATTCTTGCGAAGAATTATATTAAAATTTTTGAAAATATAAACAATAATAATTAATTATGTACTAATAAGTGACTTTTAAAATTTTCGATCATGAAATTATTCAAAAATTAAAATTTGAAAATAAAAAATGGAATATTTTGCAGAATAATAATAATAATAATAATAATAATAATAATAATAATAATAATAATAATAATCAATTGAATATCGCGTTCAGCGCGTAATATTTGTTACTTATAAATTTTTTTGAAAAGAATTTCTTCAAGCTGAAACGGTTGAGGTGAAGTAATTCGAAAAAACGCCACTTTTTTTTAAATGTATTTCTTATTATTAGTTATTTCTTCATTAGTCTGTATTATAGAAGATGAAATAATTTGTTGGCAATAATCGTACTTCTGTGAAGTTGAAATATTAACGATATATATTTTGGAAGTAGGTAATAAAAAATAAGAGTATAATCACCAATCATTATTACACTAAGAAATAAAGCCACTATTTTGAATACCCAAAAAAGAAAAAAAAAAAACTTAGTTGGAGAGCCATTCGATTTTGGAATCGCGAATTGATATGTAAACATTTCGATGAAATAATTATTAATAATTAGAATAGAATAGGATAATAAAAATGATGTTTCTATGGCTGCGAAATGATTAATATGTCGTTTTAGTTGTATAGTGGACTGACAAAGATAAAACGAGTGGTGCTATTGAAACTGAGACATAAACTGGTACTTCGTTATACTAAGGGCACATTTGATAAAAACAGGAGAGATAAAAACAGTTCTACTCGGATACCTCGGTGTCGGGATCGAGATCTCTCGTGGGCGTTGATGCATTGCTTGTTGTCGCTGAATGAGTCCCGGACCTGTGAGTTCTTCGGGGATCGAAAGGATCTACTACTATTTGTTCCGTGCCCTTGATTTCTGCTCGGCAGAATGGACATCCTTGACCCTCCGAATCCTAAGAACAATACAAATTCGTTATTTCAATTTTCATAACGGCTATTAATCCTTTTATTTTACATAAATTTTAATCTTATTTCACTGTTTTTGTAACAGTGTTTTCCTCTAGAAAAATATTTTATGCTATTCGAAATTTCACAACTTATAAGAAAATTATTATAAAACATAAAAAAATTTATCAATTTCTTCATGTTTTATAAACAATAATTAAAGTTGATCGAGTGATAAAATTATTTTTTTATAATTATAAGAATATTGTTGCGTTAAATTCTTCAAACTTATTTTCATCAATTCAATTGAATTTTTATTTTTTAGAATTTTTAACTAAAATTCATCTTTAAATCAATTATTTTCAATAGTTTCTGACAAAATTGAAATCAAACAATAAAAACTAATCAATAGTTTCTGACTCGGAAATTCTTCAATTAAATAAATATTAAAAAATAAAAACCTAAATAATTTCAAAAAACAATTCAATTAAACTTTTTCAAAAAAATTAACTCTACAGAATTTTTAGTAAAAAGTTTTAAAGACTCAGATTTTTAAAGATTTTAATTTGAAACCATATTTCCAAATTCAATTATTTCTATAAATCCACGCTATATTAATATTCAATTATTATCTAAAATTTTAAAAGAAATTAATTTTTAAATTAATTTTTATTAGAAAATGTTACGAGAATTCAATTATTTAAATAGAATAAAAAATAAATAATTTATTGAATAATTATTCAATAAATTATTAGTTAATAGAAATATTCATTTCTTAAAATTGAATTCTCGTTAATAATTTTATCATCAAATTTTTGAATAATTTAATTCTTTCAACGAATTTTAAGAAATATTTTTAAGAATAATTAAAATTCTTCAATGAGTTTTATTACTTATGAAAGTAATTTTTTTAAAATGTTTTTTATGTTTTTTATTTTTGTGAATAATTGAAATTCTTCGATGAGTTTTATTATTTATAAAAGTAATTGAATATTTGAGAAGAAATTTATAAAAAATTTGTAAATATTTGAATTTCAGCAATGACTTACTATTTAGTAATTGAATATTTGTGAAGAAATTTATAAAAACTTTGTAAATAATTATCAATTTCTAGAAAATTTTTATTATTTATAAAAGTAATTAAATAATTGACTAGAATTTCATCAAAAATTTTTTTAAATAATTCAAATTCTTTTCGCAAATTCCTGAAAATAATTGAAATTTTTCCAAGAATTTTATATTGAAAATATTTTAATTTCGGAAAAGAGTTTTATTATTTATAAAGATAATTAAAATTTTTTAAGAGAATTTTTTAAAAAATTTTAACATAATCTAAAACTTTAAATGAAATTAATTTTTAAATTAATTTTTATTACAAAATTCTACGAGAATTTAATTATTTGAATACGAAAATAAATATTTTATTGAATAATTAAATGTTTCTTAAAATTGAATTCTGACGATGAACTTTATCAACGAATTTTTAAATAATTGAATTCTGTTGACGAATTGTAATAAAAAATTTTAAGAATAATTACATTTTTCGTGGAATTCGATTAAAATTGTATTAAAAATAATTGAAATTCTGCAATGAACTTTATTATTTATGTAAATAATTGAATTCCAAAAAAGAATTTACAAACTTTAACAACGGAAGAAAAAAATCATCTATATAAAGAATTTTATTATTTATGAAAATAATTGAATCCCTGTAAAAAATAGTTTATTATTTTTGAAAATAATGGAATCATTGCGAAGAAATTTATAAAAAATTAATATATAATTGAATGCCTGTGGAATTTTTATTACTTTTGAAAATAATTAAATGTTTCCGCAGAATTTTATTAAAATTTTCCTTAAATAATTGAAATACAGTCAAGAATTTTATTAAAATTTTTTGAAAATAATTGAATTTCGGAGAAGAATTTTATTAATTTTAAAAATAACCGAAATTTTCACGAGATTTTAAAAAAATTTTTGAACATAATTGAATTTTTGTATAGATTTTTTTTTACTTTTGAAAATAATCGAATTTTTGCAATTAAATTCATTCAAAATTGACATTTTATAAAATTTCAAATTGAAATCTTTTGCAGTTCATCTATTTGTGAAAATTGAAAAGTCAATTCTTTTAAAATTCAATTAATTTTGAAGCATTTAAGGATAGGGTACACCGATATTTTTAACTATAAATTTAAATTTAAATTCAATGATCATAAAATAAAATCGTTCAGAAAATATTTTGACCCTTTTTGGATTTTTATTGTTCTAAAAAATTGGTGGATTTTGAAATCTATGTGTAATTTTGTAGAACATATGTTTTTAAATCCATAAAAAAATTACGAAATAATAAAAAAATTTGATTTTTATAATTTTTGAAGCATTTTTTTCAAAAAAAAAAATCTTTGTTTTTAGGCTAAAAATGCTAAAAAATACCATTGATATTCAATTTTTGTATGTGGAAATTAATTTGTTCATTTTTCTAACTAATTTCAGATCATAATTTTCATATATGAAAAATATAAAATACAAACAAATTAGAATAAAATTATGATTTGAAATTAGTTTAAAAAATAAATAAATGAATTTCCATATACAAAAATTGAATATCAATGGTATTTTTTTTAGCATTTTCAGTTTTAAAAAATTTTTTTTTTTAAAATGCTTAAAAAATTATGAAAATCAATTTTTTTATTTGGAAATTTTTTTGTGTATTCAAAAACATATTTTCTACCAAATTATGTATGGATTTCAAAATCCACCAATTTGTAAGAAAAATAAAATTTCTAAAAGGGTGAGGCCAATATTACAAGTAAACAAAAAGTGTTAATTTGTCCCTCAGAGATATACTGAAACTAGAAGTAAAGGAAAAGAGTATAAATACTGCTACCTGCCAAGCTGTAAGACACGGTGTGCAGAGTAAATGACCACAAGGTTCTATTCTAACGTCCTTGTCATGCTCGGCACAAATTTTACACAACTGGAACGTACTGCCCATTTCACAGTAGAGCTCATATTGTTCGGCCGTCACTTTAATGTGTTCCTCTGGGGTAGGTTGGACAGCCCATGTTAAGTCTGGATTTATGTTTCGACCATCTGGATATAAATAACTAACACCCAAGTTTACATTATTTATAATAATAAATAACAATTCATTTCATCTTATTCCTGAAGGACGTTCTTCGAATCCAATACAGATCTATACAATATGCTAATCAACCTCTCTTTCCTTGTAGGAATAACTTTATTGGAAAATATACAATTTAGGATTTAGTCAGAAACAATTTAAAGAAGAACGTCCTTAAGTAATCAGAAGTAAAATAATGAAACATCAGGTGAACTTACAATCCTTCTCGATACCCATCGAGCAGCGCTTGGCACAGACTTTTGTTGTGTGGTATTGTTTGAAGAATATCGCCATCGGATGTAACGTAACCAATTGCCCATTGCCCTAACCTCGTACAACTCAATCGGAAAACATAACTTCCCGGTTTCGTAATACAATACTTCTGTAGTCTTGCTTTTACCTCGTCATAAGTAAGAAACGCAACATAACCAGGATGTGTTACTGCCAAGATTTTCCAATTTCGCAATAATGTTGACCACGGTTGGAATAATCTGAGAATTTCAAATTTTATTCTACATTAATTCTTTGAAAAAGAATAATTAATTTGTGAGCCGGTATATCAATAAATAGAAAAATATTACAACAATAATTCACTCACCTGGTAAAAACGTCGAATTCAAAATTAGAAATGTATCCGTTACAGGTAAGATCTATTGTAGATTTCAAAGCCATGGCTTGTAGGCCAGAACTAATTGGATGAACTTGATTTAATTCATGTCTAAATATTTTCCATGGAACCAATGTACTGAAACAACAAATTTTATTGATTACCAATTTTAATCCATGTACATCTTTTGAAAAGTTTACGAAAAAGCTTACTGAACTTTTGTAACCATAAATGTACCAAAAATATGTTTTCTTGACATTTTTAAGTCTTATAGCTTTTTCTATCAAGTTAAGAAAGAAATTTTATAAGTTTTTAAATAAATCGATGGGGGGGGGGGAGGGGTTTGCAGAAATCTGATCAGAACTCTTGTAACTCTAAATTTATAAAGAACTGAATATTTCCAAAGTTCCAGCTTCTCCACTTTACACTCATTTTAAGAAAATTAATAAATATTTTAACATACTATTTCGGTACTTTTTTTTAGATTTCAGACACGAAAAGCTACTATTTCTGTTTTTTTGAGAATTTCCACTACTTTAAATTCGCTAATACTAGAAATCAAAAAACTATTCTCAAAAATTATAATCAAATTCTTTAAAACTATACAATTATTTTCAAAAAATATTCAAAATGCAATTATTTTTAATATCTAGAATTTTAATAAAATTTTGCAAAATAATTCAATTATTCAAAGAAAATTGATAAAATTCATCCAAAATTCAATTATTTTCATAAATAATAAAATTTCCACAGGAATTCAATTAATTTTAAAATAGTATTTACAAAAAAATTTCGAAAAAATTAATTATTTAACAAAATTTTTATACAATTATTCACAATAATTCATTTACTTTCACTAATAAAAACATTTTTCATGGAAATTTAATTTTTTAAAAAAAATTTTGATAAAATTTTAAGCAAAACTTCAATTATTCTCGTGAATAATAAAACTTATCGAAGAATTATATAACAATATTTTAAATTAATAAATAAAAAAATTCAGTTGCTTTCACAAATAAAGTATTCCAGAAAAATTCAATTATTCACAATAAAATTTATAATATTTATTATATTTCGAAAAAATTAATTATTTTAAACAATGTTTATAAAATTCTTATAAAGAATTCAATTATTTTCAAAAATAACAAAATTTTTCACATAAATTCAATTCTTTTAAACATTTTAATAAAATTTTTTGCAATAATTCAATTATTTTCATAAATAATAAAATTCATCGCAGGCTTTCAATTATTTTTGAAAATTTTTATAAAATAATGCTTTTTTTAAAATTCTTTGAAAGAATTCCATTATTTACAAAAATATTAGAATTTTTCACAGGAATTCAATTGTTTTCAAATAATTTAATAAAATTTTTCGAAAAAAATCAATTATTTTAAATACAATTTTAATTATATTTTTTTCAAATAATTCAATTATTCTCTTAGATTTTAATAAAATTCTTCTCAAGAATTCAATTATGTCGATAAATAATAATATTATACACGAAAATCCAATTATTTTAAGGCATTTGAATAAAATTCTTGGCAAAATTCAATTATTTTCATAAATAACAATATTCATCACAAGAATTCAATTATTTTCAAAAGTAATTTTCTTCTTCGAAATAATAAAATGCTTTTTAGGAATTTAATTATTTTCAAAAAAATTTAATAAAATTCCCCACAGACATTCAATTATTGTCAAAAATTTTAATTAAATTCTTTGTAAAATTTAATTATTTTTAAAAACTTTTCGCAATTCAATGATTTTTAATATCTACTATTTTCATAAAATATCCCAAAAAGAATTTAATTACTTTAAGGAATAATAAAATTCTTTTCAGGAATTCAATTATTTTTAAAAAATTTTATAAAATGCTTAGCAACTATTTAATTATTTTCATCAGTAATAAAATCCATTGCAGGATTTTAATTATTTTCAATACAATTTTACAGGAATTACTCAAAAAATGTTATTATACTTAAAAATTTAATTTCGATTCCTCAAAAAAATCAATTATTTAAAAAAATGTTTTTTTTTAATTTTTTGGAAGAATTCAATTATTTACAAAAATTTTATAATTTTTCACAGGAATTCAATTATTTTCAAATATTTTAATAAAATTGGTCGAAAGAAATCAATTATTTTAAATACAATATTAATTAAATTCAATTATTCTTTTAGACTTTAATAAAGTTCTTCCCAAGAATTCAATAATGTAAAAATCTTCGTAAGAATTCAATTATTTTCATGAATAATAAAAATTTCTCAGGAATTCAATTATCTAAATTGAAATTTGCATAAAATTAGTCGGAAGAAATCAATTTTTAAAAATTTTCGTAAAATTCTTCGCAAGAATTAAATTATTTTTATAAATATTGCAATTCTTCCATAAATAATAAAATTGGTTGCAGGAATTGAATTTATTAGCAGTAGGATAAGAAAGAAGTAAATATTTTTGATGAAAATTAGGAGAAAGTGAGGAAAATAAAAAATATGGAATGGGATTTTTGTCAGTTTTTTGAAGTGTCTAAAGCGAGTTTTTTGGTCGTGAAGTTTAATTTTTCGATAACTACTTTTTTAAAATTAATTATCAAGTGTGAAGTCTGATCCTTGTAAACCTGTTTAGCCAGTAGAGAAAAGAGACAGAAAACAAAATATACCTGTTACCAAAACGTTCCTTCCAAAATTCTGCAGCATCCGACTTCGTTATGCGAAATTGATCACCAGCAAAAATACCATTCGGAAAAATTGCTTTAAGCTCCGAGAGCATGTGGCTGAAGACGAGACTCAGTTTCGTGAGATTCCTACGATAATGTGAAGTCTCGTCAAACATTTTCTCCTTGCCCTCCTTAAAAAGTTTGATTGCCTGCTTACACTTTCGCATCAGATTGTTTATGAAAACACAAAAATGTTCATTATTATGCAGCATATGCATGCGATCCTCATATTTACTGTAAATCAACCTCAGTCGTTGATAAGTGTCGGGGAGTATATCGAGGATGAATGGCGGAGAGTTCTTCAAATTCATCCTCTGATGTTGACACAGCTTAACGACTTTGTCCATTAATTTCCAAGTCTTGTCTAGCATGCGTTTGTCCGTCGACAGTTTCGGTGGTGTCATTGCGTCCGTAAATCGACCTTGCAACTTTTGGAAAATTGAACTAATTTGTACAGCCCGACTACTTCGACTACTCTGTCCCGACGATGACATCATGATTATCCCTGATTATTTTCCGATAAACTTTGACACAATTAAATAAGTCCCTCTTTATTCGGTGCAATATCACAATTTTCTTCTCTATCGTTCTACTTGTTGGTCATCTCTGCAATCCATCGCAGCTATCACAGTTCATTTGACACTTGGAGGCATGTGTTGTGTGACAAAACATAGCAACATTGTTGTTTGAATTATCTATTTTGACGTGCCTTTAATTCCATTTGTGTAAAGAATCTCTCAAGTGCCAAATACAGAGTTAACCGACAGCAAGATCGAAGTGTACCTACAATAATTAAACCTCACTAAAAGACACATTTTCATTTCTAAGCTCTTTGCAATGTTCTATTACATTGGCTGGTTTTAATGTTTCCTAAAACGGAGCACAATTTATATTTACAAAATGTTAAAACATGAACAACAGCATTCCACATAAACTTAAAGTAAAATGTAAGCACAGTAGCTATATAGACCAATTTTCTGTAAACGCAACATTGTATAGACGGGTCTAGCATCTGTCGGGGTAGGGACAATGACTCGAATCCTGATCACAACGCTGCTTCCAAAATTAGCCACCGAGAGCGTAAAGTTCTGGGCCGTTTCTATATTAAGCCCCAAGCACAATAGCTTCGCGAATGAAGTGCGTGAGATAGAAAAGGACACAAGCGTACTCTATCCTTTTCTATCTCGTGTATTTCACTCAGTGAGTCGCCCCGACTTTCCGGAACGACTAGCATGAGAAGGACAAAGACAGCGACAGTTTCCGTCTTTGTCTATCTCATGCAATTCGTTCCGGAAAGTCGGGGCGACTCAGTGAGTGCAGAATCAGCATTAGGACATAAAAGGAGCCTATTGTGAACGTAGCCTAAAAGATGAGTTAAAGAAGGACAAAGCATATACCCGTCCTTCTCAAACACACACTTTCTATTTACCACCCCATTTCCAAGTATAATATTCTACGTTGGCTTTTGGCCTCTACTTGCTTTGTTACTATAGAAACATTAAAGAGAAATTCTACTAAAATTGTTCATTTTTTAGTAAAAAAAAAAAAATTAGTTGTTTAGTTGTGTACACGAAAATCAAGTTGAAACTTGAAAAAATTTTGACATTTAACATTGTTAAGAATTGAGAAAAAAAATTCGCGTTTAAAAATATTGCCAATCCTCAAGTTTTGAAACACCGTTGAGCAGAAGACAAGAATCAGCCGTTTATCGATGATGGCTTGATGGCCGTTGATGAATCTACCTAACCTATTCTCGGCGTCCTTATTGCAATTACTCTAAGCAAATTTTTTATAAAAAAATCTCTGGTGTATTCGAACACTGCTATCATTGATATTATGTCAAGAATTGGTGAGTTCTCCAAACATTATAAATACGATATTTTTATTGCTCATTGCGAAACTTTTATTCAAACATTAAAATTGCTAATTGCACATTAAATTTAATTGTATTTCAGGTCCAATTTGCTTACTAAACAAGTTGTTCTAGTCTAGTTCTTAATTTTTTTATTATATGCACAAAGTTTTAATTAATTTCAAACAGTCATGATTTTGTGGTGTATATTTAATTGTGCTATAAACTAGTCGCTTTACGTGAATTTTAATTTTTCGGTGTGTTTTTAAATGTCTGCAGATTGTTTTTGTTTATTTGTAAACTTTGCATTTGGCTAATGCATTAATAGGGAACTTTATACTTCCGCGAATTTATTTTTTCGCTCAGTTCGAATATTTTACTTATTTTTGAAAAATAAAATTTTAAATTCATAATTAACAATTTACGATTACATTTTGCAAAATATTGTGACGGGATTGTAAAATAAATAAATAAGTGATTACTGTCAGTACTTTGGAAATACTGGTAATAATGGTGTAATTTTTGTTAATTATTTTTATTCAGGTGACTGTATAGACTTAAAATATTTATAATGGATCCAGCGACAGTGATAGCTCTTTGCAAAGAAAATATACAACCTTTACGACATGGTCGGAATGTTGCACAGTTGGGCACTGCACTCCGAGCACAGGAAGATGCTGAAGCTCAACAATTATTATTACAAGAACGACAGTAGGAATCATTTTTATACGATAATAACACAGACTTGCAAAATTCGACTTTTTTCTATTTTTTATATTCGAGTGGTTGTCAATGTAATTTTACCCCTTGAACACGATCCCAGTACTCAAAATTGCTTAGCACGTCAGGATTTTAAAAAAAATGTGCGTAAAGATCCAAAAAACAGTGTTTTTGAGTGTTTTCAAAATATTTTTTCTCCTAAAGGAGGAACACCACTCTAAAAGCAGAAAAAGAGACCTATCTTTGATTATTTGTTTTGAGAAAATGAAAAATGGAATAGAATTTCTTTTTGGAGGATTTATTAAATACATATTAAAGCGTGGGAATTTTTTTAAAAAATTATATAACAAGATGGCGGCGATAAATTTCATATTCAAAATTGACAATTTTTTACGGCCGGAATAGTTTTTTGAAAAGTTTAAGTCCTGGATCGAAAAACAAAGAAATTTCATAATCTATATACTATAAACTTTGGAAGTACATATGGATTTTTTAATTGGATGTAAACTCTATTATTTATAAACAATTTACTGTTTATTTTTTGGCAAAAAATCGATTAATTTACTCACAAAAATTGATATAAAAAGAAAATCTCATGTACTTCCAAAGTCTATATTATATAGATCATGAAAATTTTTTGTTTTCTGTAGCAGGACTTAAACTTTTCAAAAAAATTGTCCGGCCAATTAATTGTTTTGGTCATTAAAAAAAATAGTCAATTTTGACTATGAAATTTATCGCTGACATTTTTTCATAATTTGTTCTGACAGTTGACTGAGCCAGAAGTCATTTAAGAAGAAGACATTTTTTCATAAGAAAATTCTGAATTTTGGTACCTTTTTTGTTTCCCTCGTTAATTATTAAATTACCATGGATTCTAATACAAAACCTTTAATTTCTTCTATTTCTGATAATAATTTTTTTTAAATAACTCAATTTTTAAAGAACATCATAAAATTATTACTTATAACTTATTTAATGAATAATTACACTTAAAATGTTTAAAATTAATTGAATTTTAAAAGAGTTGCGTTTACTATTTTTGTGAATAGATGAACTTCATAAGGTTTTAATTTGTTTTATTTTCAATTTTGAATGAATTAAATTAGAAATTATAGAGAACATAGATTTTTGAAAAATTTTAGTAATTAAAATTCTTCTGAAATTATAGTTAAATTTTTCAATATACATATTTGTTTAATTAAATATTAAAAATAATGGATCTATGGAAGAATTTTAATTAAAAACACTAAAGAAAATTGCATTTTGAAAAAGTTATAAATGATTGCAGAAATCCAATGATTTTCAAAAGTAATAAAATTCTATGCAGAAATTCAATTGTGTTCAAAAATTTTTAAATATTCTTGTCAAAATTTCAATTATTTTCAAAAGTAATAAAATTTTTCTACGAAATTCAATTATTTTCAAAAATTTTGATAAAATTTTTGGCAACATTTCAATTATTTAAATAAAATTTTAATAAAATTCTGCGGAAACATTTAATTATATTCATAAATAATAAGAATTTCACAGGCATTCAATTATTTACTAATTTTTTATAAATTTCTTCGCAAAACTGAAAAAAAGTTCTGGTTAGGGTATATATATATACCCTATATATATATACATATATGACACGAAATTCTTGTTAAAAACCGGTTTTTTGGGAATTTCAACTAGAACTTTTTTTTCAGTGAATGATTCCATTATTTTCATAAATATAAAACTTTTTTTTACAGGATTTCAATTATTTTCATAAATAATAAAACTCATCGAAGAATTTGAATTATTTTTAATACAATTTTAATCGAATTCCACGAAAAATGTAATTATTCATAAAAATTTTATTTAAAATCGTCAAAAGAATTCAATTATTTAAAAATTTGTTGATAAAATTTTTCATTAAAATTTAATTTTAAGAAACATTTAATTTATTATTTTTGTAGTTAATTAATTTTCTTGTTAAAATTTCGATTATCTTTAAAAACAATAAAATTTTCAAAAATTTAATTATTTTCAAAAATTTTAATAAAATTCTTGGTTAAATTTCAGTTGTTGTGGGAGCGTTCACAAATGATGTCACGCTTTTTGGGAAGGGGGGGGGGGGGGGGTTCTTACTAAACGTGCCACAATGTATTTTTCTCATGTGAAATTGCAAAAATTGCGTGGCAGGGTGAGGGGGGGGGGGGTCGAAAATCTCCAAAAATTGCGTGACATCATTTGTGAACGCTCCCTTTCGAAAATTTTCTGTAATTCAGAAATTTTCAAAATCTAGGTACTATTTCAATAAAATTTTCTAAAGAATATTCAATTATTTCTAAAAAAAATTTTGTTAAAATTCTACTAAAAATTTAATTATTTTCATAAATTATAAAAGTTTTACAGAACTTCAATTATTTACAATTTTTATTATAAAGTTCTTTGCAATACAATTATTTTCATAAATAATAACAGTTTTTACAGGGATTCAATTATTTTTAATACAATTTTAATTGAATTCTTCGAAAAATGTACTTATTTTCAATAATTTTATTATAATTCGTCAAAAGTATTCAATTATTTAAGAATATGTTGGTAACATTCTTTATGAGAATTCAATTGTTGAGAAACATTAAATTATTTAATAAATTATTTATTTGCATTTCATTTGTATTTAAATAATTGAATTCTCGTAGAATTTTCTAATAAAAATTGATTTAAAAATTAATTTTAGTTAAACTTTTAGATAATAGGGGAGAGTGGGGCAAACCGGACCCCCTAACGGTTTTTTGACTCTTGTAACTAAACGAATCAACCGATTTTATTTTTCGATGGCTTGTTTGAAAGATCATTTAATTGCGCGACTTTTTCCCAGAGACACCTATACTTTATCTTTTATTGTTTAGTTGCTGTGTTAACTTTAAAAAATTTTGCAAACGGTCCGGTTTGCACCACCCCCTGGGGTAAACCGGACCGTTTGGTTTTTTATTTATAATATTGCATTTACATAATCTACAATAATAAAAAACATAAAGAATCATGTAAACAATGGTTGTAGTAATGAAAATAATAATACGGGATTGAATTTTAATTAAAGAAATATTTTTTTTAATAAAAAAATAAAAATGTTTGTCATTATCAGAGAAACAATATCAAAGGGTCCAATTCTCATTGGAAGACAATTATTTTTCATTGTTCACTTAAGATCTGATGAAAGTCTCTATCACGTCAGGTTAAATCGAAAAGATATTTTGAAGACCCCCTTTTCGGGATATTTACCCCCACTTTTCTCAAATTGTTTTATTTCTTTTGGTCTTACGCATCTGGGGCTTTAAATTCACATTTTATGCTTAAACTTAAAAGCTCATAGTTAAGGAGAAAAAATATCGGGAAAACATCAAAAATCACGTTTTATTAGATTTTTACCCCAAAATTCTGACGTGCCAGGCAATTTTAAGTACCGGGATCGTGTTTAGGGGACAAAATTGTATTGGAAACAACTCCAATATCAAAAATGAAAGAACCATGTATGCCTGTGTAATTTTTTATAATACTTTTAAATTTATTTTTCATGTATACTTTTTTGATTTAGAGTGCACGAAGAGGCAATTAAAAATTACGTTGGCGATGATCCTTTAGAAAATTGGTACGACTACATACTTTGGATGGAACAAAGTTATCCAAAAAGTGGACAAGAATCTCATATTAGTAGACTATTACAGGAATGCCTTGCGGCTTTTGAAAAAGAAACAAAATATCACCAGGACAGAAGATATATTCGCTTATGGATCAATTATGTACGTACTTTTTTCTACTTTGGTCAAAATATTCTATTTCACTCGGTGTAATTTTGACTTTTGCAAAAAAAAAGAAATTTGTTTATTTTAATGGGACGCATGATTATTCCCCAAATGTCTTTTTTCCGAAATGTCATTTTACCGAACTGCACTTTTGCGAATAGTCATTTTTGCGAAAAGCCAATTTTGCGAAATGTCACTTTTGCGGATTGTCATTTTTACGAAAATCTATTTTTGCGAATTGTCATTTTTGCGAATCGCAATTTTTACGAATTGTCAATTTCCCGAAAAGTCATTTTTGCGAATCGCCATTTTTACGATTTGTCAATTTTTCGAAAACTCATTTTTGCGAATTGTCATTTTTGCGAATCGCCATTTTTAAGATTTGTCAATTTTTCGAAAACTCATTTTTGCGAATTGTCATTTTTACGAAAATACATTTTTGTGAAATGTCATTTTTGCGAAAAGTCATTTTTACGAATTGCCATTTTTGCGAATTGTCATTTTTAAGAAATGTCACATTTGCGAATCGCCATTTTTACGAATTGCCATTTTTACGAATTGTTATTTTTGCGAATTGTCATTTTTACGAATTGTCAATTTTCCGAAAAGTCATTTTTGCGAATCGCCATTTTTACGAATTGTCAATTTTCCGAAAAGTCATTTTTGCGAATTGTCATTTTTGCGAAAAATACAATAGTGAATTTATAGATACCTACAAGTTTCTATTGTATTTTTCGCAAAAATGACAATTCGTAAAAATGACTTTTCGGAAATTTGACAATTCGTAAAAATGGCGATTCGCAAAAATGACTTTTCGGAAAATTGACAATTCGCAAGAATGGAAATTCGTAAAAATGACTATTCGCAAAAATGGCTTTTCGCAAAAATGACTTTTCGCAAAAATGACATTTCACAAAAATGTATTTTCGTAAAAATGACAATTCGCAAAAATGACATTTCTCAAAAATGACAATTCGCAAAAATGTCAATTCGCAAAAATGACTGTTCGCAAAAATGACTAATTGTAAAAATGACATTTCAGAAAAATCTCTTTTCGCAAAGATGACATTTCACAAAAATGTCTTTTCGTAAAAATGACAATTCGCAAAAATGACTTTTCGGAAAATTGACAATTCGTAAAAATGGCGATTCGCAAAAATAACTTTTCGGAAAATTGACAATTCGAAAAAATGGCGATTCGCAAAAATAACTTTTCGGAAAATTGACAATTCGCAAAAGTGACATTTCGCAAAATTGTCTTTTCGCAAAATTGACTATTCGCAAAAGTGCAGTTCGGTAAAATGACATTTCGGAAAAATGACATTTGGGGAATAATCATGCGCCCCATTTTAATTTATAAGTAATTTTTAGGCCAATTAAAAAAAAATTGGCCTAAAAATTACTTAAATTAATATATTAACAAACCACAAAAAATATTCATCTAATTAAACGAATATTTTACCATTTTAAATTCGCCTTATTGGTATCAAATCAAATATAATGAAATAAATGAACAAAAATATTTCCGCAGATTATTGAAATTTTTTGAAAAAGTCGTAATTACACCAATTGAAATAAAATAGTTTGACCCACTTGTTTTTGAAATAACAAAAGACAATGGGAGTTTAATCATTACATCCTCGTTTTTTCAATCAACTTTAGATAAGTATGCAAAAGAACCCAATAGAGTTATATCAACTATTACATAATAATGGAATTGGAACCATGGTGGCTGATATGTATAGAGCTTGGGCTTTTGAATTGGAGCAAATAGAAGACTATAAACGAGCAGACGAAGTTTACCTTATGGGCTTAACTACTCGAGCCGAACCACTTGATGAATTGGATTGTGCTCACAAGTAATTATTCTTTTTTATCTAAGCAATTCTCTACGCATTGGTAACTATAGACAAAACATTTTAGATAATTAGAAATTTATCTTAAATCAAGCAAAGACTTACCTAAAAATAACCTGTAAGGTCTCTTTTACTGGGGTGCGTCATACATCAATTTCAGAAAAATTATAAATATTTTTAAAAATTTCGAGGGCTTAAAATTCCATTTTGATGAGAAAACAAAGATTTTTTTCTCTTTGTATAGCAAAAGATTACTTTTTTGCTATACACCTTTATGTAAAAAAATTCCTCTTTGCAATTTGATCCACCTTAATTTACGAGTATTTACAATCAGTTTGTTAAAAATTGAAGAGTTTAATAAATTAACATCTGATTGATTTTATGTCATTAGAATTCATATATTTGATATTTTAAACCATATATGTATAAAAAGTGTATTTACATCTTTATCGCAATTTAAAACAGGATGAATATAAATTAATTTTTGATGAATGTATTGTTTGTAGAAACTTTCAATTGGCCGTAGCACGTAAGATGCTCGGCAGATCGGAAGGACATGAAGTGTCTTTTACCGAACAACGTCAAGCCTTCAGTTCGTTAAAAGCAATAAAAGTTGGGAGAAAAGTCGGTAGTGTGAGAACTGGTCATCGCATTCATGGTCATATGCCAGGTGTAATACCACAAAGTGACGCAACCAGTCACAGCACGAACCAGAATTCTAGAGTACAAATATATCAGGTAAGAATAATTTTCTATTTAACGAAGATAATATAATCTATATATGTAATTTGCACTTTCTAATGCAATTTAATTGTATTAGGATGACGCACTTAGTAATGATGGAAAAGGCTCCAGTATTTTGGTTCATGTGCCTGTTGAAGCAAATATACATAAGGAAAACACTCTTAAACCTGGTCCGTGGAACGCTGGCTTCAAAAAGTGTCCTTTAATATCATCCAGTGTCAAGACATCTTTTAAAGGTGAACACTTTATTTTTCTCTGTTTTAATTTTTAATAATTTCGAAGATATATGGACAAATCTCTCGAAATTTTAATCTTTAAGTGTCTCATATTTTTTTTATTCAACTTCGAAATGTGTCTGCAAACAATGAGAGACTTTAAGCACTTTATTGGAAAGAAATTCACTTTATAAATTAGCACATCATATTAGAGTGAAATAACGAATACCAGACTCGAAATGAATGTGTGAAAATAATTTTTAGAGTGTTTAGATAACAATGCTTATATTTTGATAATTTCAATAACTTTTTACTTGGTTTTTGTTGGAAATATTAGTGCTTGATACGATGAATTAGTTTCAAAAGATTTTACACTAATTGATTAAATGAATAAATACCTAATTATTTTATTAATATTCAAAAAATGTAAGGATTTCAGTTAAAGCATTCCAGAGAAACGTGAAATTCAAACAAATTTTTCAAATTATATTTTTTCGGAAGCAATAAGAAAATTCAGAAACTTCATTTTTGTTCTAATTAAATTCGATTATAATAATTTTAAAATTACCAAAACTAAAAATATAAAATAATACTTTGGTTGTTAATTAGCATAGACAAGTTATGCTTGTTCTGAACGTCGTCTCTTAAAATATGACTTAAACTATCCAGTGTGATATAAAATTATTATTACTATAATTTAAAGTCTTATTGACACAGCAGCTTTATTCCATTCTGATAAAAGATTCCCATATAAAAACAATATTACTTTATTTAAATTCTGTTTAAAAATGAATAATTATTTTGATGAATTCATAAAAGTAAAGTTATCTTAAAAAATAGTTGAATTTAATATTATAATCTTGTGAAATAAGAATAATGATAATATTCGTAGACCTGGGTATATAAAATTATTTTAACATATTTAGTTTCAAGTCTATCTTGTTAAAAATTGCAAGAAATCAATTGACAACATTTGCACTTTTCAATGTGATTAAATTCATATTTTAAACAATAATTTTTCACTGTTTATTTAAGAGGGGGGGATAAGGTTAATTCGGTAAAAAAAACAAATTTTTAATATTTTTTTTGCCGAGGCGCATGATTATTCCCCAAATGTCATTTGACCGAACTGTCATTTTACCGAATTGCATTTATCCGAACTCTTATTTTAACGAAATGTTACTTTTGCGAATCGCCATTCTTACAAATTGTCACTTTTGAGAAAACTGACATTTTTTCGAATTGTCATTTATGCGAACTGCCATTTTTTCGAATTGTCATTTTTACGAAATGGCACTTTTACGAATTGTCACTTTTGCGAAAAGTCATTTTTTCGAATTGTTATTTTTGCGAATTGTCATTTATGCGAACTGCCAATTTTCGCAAAAATGACAATTCAATCAGGGTTGCCACGCAACCTGGAAACCTGGAAAACCTGGAAATGTCAGGGACTTTTTATAAACCTTGAAAAAACCTGGAAAAGTCAGGGAATTTTGATTGGAATCCTGGAAAATTATTGTTTTCTAAAGTTATTGTGCTTATTCTTGAAATCTAATTTTTCTTTAAATCAATTTTCTTAATTCAATTTTAAAAGAGTTGCCTTTACAATTTTTCTTCGCAATAATTCAATTATTTTCATAAATAATAAAAAAATTTATAGATTTACAATTATTTTCATAAATAATAAAACTCATCGCAAAATTTCAATTATCTTTAATACAATTTTTTAATGGAATTTCCCGAAAAATATATGTATAATTATTCTTAAAAATTTTATTAAAATTCATCAAAGAAATTCAATTATTTTCAAAAGTAATAAAATTCTTCGCAAAAATTCAATTATGGTCAAAAGTTTAAAAAATTTAGATATCGCCAAAATTTCAATTACCTTTATAAATATTAAAATTTTTCTCCAAAATTCAATTATTTTCAAAAATTTTAATGAAATTCTTTTTAACAAATTCAATTTTTTTTCAAAAATTCTCCTCCAGTCAATGATTGTCAATATCTACTATTTTAATAAAATTTTCCAAAAGAAATGAATTATTTGAAATTTTTTTATAAATTTCTTCGCAATAATTCTATTATTTTCAAAAATATTCAATTTATGTTTACAGAGATTCAATTATTTTTATAAATATATATGTAATACAATTTTTTACAGGGATTCAATTATTATTTTCATAGATAATAAAACTCATTGCAGAATTTCAATTATTTTTGATACAATTTCAATCGAATTCCTCGAAAAATGTAATTTTACTTAAAATTTTATTAAAATTCGTCAAAAGAATTCAATTATATAAAAATTTGTTAATAAAATTCTTTATGAGAATTTAATTTTGAGAAACATTCAATTATTCAATAAATTATTTATTTTTGTATTAAAAATACTTAGGTATTTCAGAAGAAATATTATTAAAAAATTCTTCTCAAGAATTCAATTATTTTCTAAAGTAATAAAATTCTTAGCAGAAATTCAATTATGGTCAAAAGTTTCATAAAATTATAGTCGAAATTTCAATTATTTTTATAAATATTAAAATTTTTCTCTAAAGTTCAATTATTTTCAAAAATTTAAATAAAATTCTTGGCAATATTTCAATTATTTTCAAAAATTTTAATAAAATTCTTGACAAAATTTAAATTATTTTCAAAAACTTTTCTCAATTCAATGAAATTTTTTTACAGAGATTCAATTATTTTTAATACATTTTTAATCTAATTTCTCGAAAAATGAAATTGTTCTTAAAGATTTTATTGAAATTCGTCAAAAGAATTTTAATTACCTATTTAAAAATTTGTTGATAAAATTCTTTGAAGGAGAGTTGAATTTTAAAAAACATTAAATTCTTCAATAAATTATTTTTTTTTGTATTTAAATAATTGAATTGTCGTAGAATTTTCTAATAATAATTGATTTAAATATGAATTTCAGTTAAAACTTTAGATAATAATTATTGAGTTTTGAAAAGCAGGTCTCAAATCCGAATACCTGAATAATCGATGAAATTTCGTAAAATTGAATTGTAAACTAAAGGATTTGAAAATGTTGAAAGAAATTTTTTCAGAAATTATTAATAATAATTAATTTACACTTTATAAAGAAGAATTTTAGTTAAAAATTGTGGAAAACAATAATTGAATTAAAATAATGAAAGTAATTTTGAATAAGTTACAGTAACAATATTTTTATAATAGGTATAAAATGATGATTTTATCAGTCCAACATTTTTAATTATTATAAAACATGAAGATATCGATTGCCCCGAGTCGAAGACTCGGAGTGATTGATATTTTCATGTTTTATAACAATTTTTTATAAGTTGTTTAATGTCAAAAAGGTTAGAATTAACAATTTTGTAAAATATAAATGTAGTTTTAAAAACCTGGAAAACCTGGAAAAGTCACTTAGTCAGGGAATTTGAAACGAGCAAAAGAGTGGCAACCCTGCAATTCGTAACAGTGACATTTCGTAAAAATGATAATTCGAAAAAATGTCAGTTCGCATAAATGACAATTCGTAAATTACAAAGGAATTTCAACTAGTTAACAATCGTAAATTTCTTCAATATCAATTAATCGTAGTTTAAGAAACTGTAAGTGGAACCTTAATTAAAAAATGTTGACAGAAAATTTGAACTTTTGTTTGTTTCATGAAGTTCACGAAGATCAACCAGATGATGACTTTAGTTTAGAAAAAGTGAAACTGTTTCCAAATCATACTCCATTTTACGATGGCAGTAAATACGAGGAATATCCTAAGGTTCCAGTTTACGTGTCGGATCCACCAAATTCTAATGTGATACTGAAACCACACTACCCCAAAGAATTAGTATACGCTAATAATATCGATCGAAGTATGGAAGAAATCAGGGCTCAGCAATATCTCGAGAGGTATGTATAAGAATATTTCTTTTTTAACAAGAGTCTGCGCACTGAAATTGTCAATTTGTTTTTATACAACTTGACGAAATTCATTGTGCGTTTAAGTTTCCGCTTTCATAATTGAAACGTATAATGTAATTATTTAGATTTCAAAAATGAGAAAGTAAAATATTAGAATAAAAAAACACTAGGTATTTGAAAACAATTAGGAGTGTTGAATAAAATTTATGTTTTATTATATAGAAATGCTAATTTCAAAAAAGATAGCAGCTTGAATATTGACGTAAAAAATTCTTCAACACGCTACTCCAACAGATGCGAGCAATCATTCAAGCAGCATCATCATCAAATGTCCCAAAGTCAACTTGGTCAACAAGAAATAAACAGAAGCGAACTATCAGTCCAACAGGAGATGCATCATCAGCTTTACAGTAGAGGAAAGCATCAGCTTCCAAATCAAGGACAGAAACTCGAGCAACTTGAGATAGCGAGACATCACAGTGATCATCTAAATCACGAAAGACAACAACGGGAAGAATTATCACGACTCAGATACGAATCGGAACAGCTCGAATTCAAGAGACTAGAGGCTGAAAGATTAGAGCAGCAGAGATACGAAGCCGAAAAACAAGAATACAAAAGACTAGAAGCGGAGAGGCTAGAAGCTGAGAGAATAGAAGCTGAGAGAATGGAGGCCGAGAGGATGGAAGTTCAAAGAATAGAAGCCGAGAGAATGGAAGCTGAAAGAATGGAAGTTCAGAGAATAGAAGCTGAGAGGATAGAAGCCGAGAGAATAGAAGCTGAGAGAATCGAAGCGCAGAGAATGGAAGCGGAATTAAGAAGACAGCAGAAGTTACAGTCTTCCAGTTTTTTGAATCAACAATCTTCTAGCACCGCGTCTGAAGAACACCTATTGGGTCAGAGTTTGACAGTGAATACGAAGGAAGCAATGTCCGCTGTTCAAGAATTGTGGCAATCGCCAAACACCAGCAATAACAGTCCAATGATCAGCAGACCCCTGGATCACAGAATGGCGGATACAAGGGAGAAACTATCGTTTAATATTCATATGGACAGCTCCATGACACAACACGCCATGTCCACCAGTAAACACCACCAGGGATATAGTGTACCGATACAAACATACAATGATCAGGAAAATAATCAAGTTTACCACAGTCCCTTCACAAGTCAAGAGCATCAATCTTTCGGAGGTCACGCTGTACACAATCCATATCATTATCAAGTGCAAGTGAGTAGAAAAGTTTCGTTTTAACAGGGTGTCTAACACGGGGTTGCCACGCAATCTAGAAATCTGTAAAACCTGGAAATGTCAGGGAAATTTATAAACTTTTAAAAAACCTGAAAAAGTCAGGCAATTTTTATCGGAATCCTGGAAAATTGTGGTTTTCTAAAGTTATTGGGTTTTTTTGTATTGAAAAAATATTCAATTTCTAGAATTCATAAGAAAATTCTACATTTTTTTGTCTATAAACTATAGAAATTACCACAAATTCTAATATGAAAACTTTCATTTTTTCTACTTTAGGCTTCACAGTCTGTCCCCTATTTCCCTAAAAGTCCCCTTTTTTAATTTTTACCCCTAAACGTACCCTATTTTGAAAATTTCCCCTAAATTTCCTCTATTATTTTCTTTTATCTTTTAATGATGAATTTACACCAAATTTAGCAAAGTGCTGTTGAAACTTTCAATTGAAAACTTTTGTTTTGAAAGTTTCAAATCTTGAAATTTATGATTGATGAATTCTTTCGTGAAATTTATAAAATTTGTAAGATTAGTATTTTGGTGAAGTCAAGTCTCAATTATGTTTAGAAGTTGGTTGTTTTTTTAATATTATTTAATTATTACAAAAGTTGTAATGCAATTATCTTGATAAATAACAAAATTCTTCACAGAAATTCAATAATTTTTAGGAATTTTAATAAAATTCTTCACAAAATTCAATTATTTTCATAAATTACAATATTCATCCCAAGAATTCAATTATTTTCCAAATTAATAAAATTCTTCGAAGAAATTCAATTATTTTTAAAAATTTTCACGAATATCTCGTCAAGAATTCAATTGTCTTTACAAATAGCAAAATTTTTCACCAAAAATTCAATTATTTTCAAAAATTTATAAAAATCTTTGCAAAAGTTCAATTACTTTCAAAAGATTTTGGCAATTCAATAATTTTCAATATTTACTATTTTCATAAAATTTATCAACATATTTAATTATAGAAAAAACTTTTTCATACAATATCAGCGAAGAGATTCAATTATTTTCATAAATAATAAAATTTCATTTACGAATTCAATTATTTTCATCGTAGAATTTCAAATATTTTTAATACAATTTTAAATTAATTCCTTGAAAAATGCAATTATTATTACAAATTTTATTAAAAGTTTTGAGGAAAGAATTCAATTTTAAAAAACATTTAATTATTCAATAAAACAATAAAATTCGTTGCAATAATTCAAATATTTTCATAAATAACCTTTAATTCGTCGCAGAAAATCAATTATTTTCAACAATTTTTAAGTAATTTTGCAAAAAAATTCAATTAGCTTGATAAACAACAAAATCGCATAAATTCATCCCATTATGCATATCAATTATTCTAAGGAATTTTAATAAAATTCTTTTCTAAAATTCAATTATTTTGATAAATATCAACATTCATCACAAGAATTCAATTCTTTTGCAAAGCAATAAAACACTTTTCAGAAATTAAATTATTTTCAAAATTTTTTTAAAATTCTCGTCAAGAATTAAATTATCTTTATAAATAGATAGAAAAAATTCTTCTCAAGAATTCAATTATTTTTAAAAAATTTAATAAAATTCTTCAAATTGTTTTAAATTATTTTCAAAAATTGTTATAAAATTCTTTAATTTAATAAATTTCATTAAAATTTTAATTAAATTCCTTAAAAGAAATTAAATATTTTCAAAAGTTGTTAATACAATTCTTCGTAAAAATTAAATTTTAAGAAACATTAAATATTATTTAGTTTTATATTTAAATAATTGATTTCTCGTAGAATTTTCTAATAAAAATTGATTAAAATATTTGAAAATCTGATTTTTCCTACTTTTAATTAACAATTTTACAGAATTATGATTTTTTAAATTTTAATTTCAATTCTCTTAAAATTAGTTGAATTTTTTTTTTAATTATATTTAATTATTTCAAAAGTTTTAACGCAATTCTTCGATAGCATTGAATTATCTTGATTAATAACAAAATTCTTCCCAGAAATTGAATTATGTTTTTAAATTTTAATACAATTCATTTATTTTTATAAATATCAATATTCGTAATAAAAATTCAATTATTTTGAAAATTATCAAAATCTCTTGCAGAAACTATATTTTTTTCAAAAATTTTTTTGAACTTTTTTTTACAATATGAATATGAACTTTTTTTTGACAAGAGTTTTATTATAATTTTTGAAAATAATTGAATTTTGAAGAAGAATTTTTTATTTATAAAGATAATAATTAGACTTTTGTCGAGATTTTTTTGTAAATTTTGAACATAATTAAATTTTTTGATAAGAATTTTATTACTTTTGAAAATAATTGAATTTCTGCAATCATTTGCAATTTTGCTTCAAAATTTAATTTGTTTTAGTGTTTTTAACTAAAATTTTTTTATAAATCCATTATTTTTAATAATTAATTAAATATATATTGACAAATTTAACTAATTTTAGAAGATTTTGAATTATTAAAATTTTTCAAAAATCTAAGTTCATTAAAATTTCTAATTAAATTCATTCAAGATTAAAACTTTATAAAATTTCAAATTGAAACCGTTTGAAGTTCATTTATTTATGAAAATTGTAAACACAGCTTTTTTAAAATTGAATTAATTTTGAAATATTTAAGTAAAATTATTTATTAAATAATTTATTTATTTGATGATAGTTGTTCAAGATTTATGTTATTAAAGAAGAAATTAAAAAAATTGAAGGTTTTGTATTAGAATTCGTGGTAATTTTATAGTTTGAGTCGAAGAAAAAAGATACAAAAATTCAGAATTTTCTTATAAATACTAAAAATTAAATTTTTTTCAGTACTTTTAATAAAAATTTTTGACTTTTCCCTGAATTCCCTATGTCAGAATATATGATTATTATAATTATAATAATATTAAAATTGTATATTCCAATTCATATTTTATTTTTATAAAAAGAAAATTTGAATTAAAAATATTTACGTCTATTTTTTTTAAAATTGCTAATTTTATTGTAAAAATGTGAGTGAGAAGTTGCTAATAATTGAATTAAAGAAGAATTTTAGTTAAAAAATTGTAAAAAATAATAATTGAATTGAAATGAGGAAAATAATTTTGAAAATATTACAGTAACAATATTGTTATAGAATAAAATAATGATTTTATTATGCGGTCATCTTTAATTATTATAAAACATGAAGAATTCGGTCACTCCGGGAGTCATCGATATCTTCATGTTTTATAGTTATGAAAAAATTTAATTTCTAGTTTTAAGTAAAATGTTCTTTTATTTGACTCAGACTGGTTACATTTTTAATAATTGGTCCAGTAATAATTGGTCCATATGTCAGAGAATCCTTTAAAAGATGTCATGGAAAAGTCAGGGATTTAATTTAATTGATCTTTCTTAATTTGTTAGACACCCTGAGTTTTACCAATTTCCAAGCAGTATGGAAGGAATTCACTATTTATTATTCTTTTTTTGTATAGCATATGGGAACACATCAACAAGGAATTCAACCTCATCTGCAATCGCACGTTCAGCAACATCAGTTACAGACATCGATACACCAGCCACACATTCATCATACATCTCACATGCAGTCCCCACATCAACAACACATGGAACAACATTTACACGTTCAGCCTCAGCACAATCAAGCTCAACTGCTTCCCTCACATCACATTCACATGCAACACCACACATCTCACATTCAGTCATTACACGACACGTCCCAACACATGCAGCACATGGAGCATCAACAGCATCAACAACATCACATGTACGGCAACGTAGTTGCCAATATGGGGTATCAGCAATATTCTCCGGCCTTGCAATCGCCGCTGCCGTCCATCGAACCTCAGAAACAGTTGCACTTCTCGCCCTACACGGATCCAGAGTCGGAGTCTAACAAGTCTTACAAGATGCCTACCGAATTGCCGTACATAAAGTCGCCTGGTATGAACAGACGGGACTTGAAGTTCCTGGAAAGCGCTGAGAATAAGGAGAACGCATTATGTGTTGAGTACAATGGTCCTGTTGAGGAGAATATGGTGAAGCAGGAAGAAAATTTGTATGAGGATGAAACACTTGGTACTGCACCATTGGCGGTGGAGAATGAAACGTGCATTACAGAGGCATTCAATACACATCTCACCAGTTCAACACCGATTAATCACTTTAAAGAGTCCTACAGAGTTAAGGAACGACATCAGTTGCATGGAGATGGTGGCCCTCCTCCAACGTGAGTTTTTGGAACTTTTTATAACAAAATTTCTATTCGTATCTATACAGAACATTCACCGAATATTTTTAACATTTAAAGTCACTCCAGTTTTAGCAATTAAAGGGATTTTCTGGTACAGAATTGGTAAAAAAAACACACTTTTTTAAACTCTTATTGTAAAAAAGGTATTATAATTATTTAAAAAATTCCTTTTGGATATTGTTACATATTACAAGAAGAGAATTAAAAAAAAAATGTTTGAGTATTTTTAGTTCATTTTCGTAATTGTAGATGGCGTCTTCCGAAAGGTACCTTTTTCGGGGACAGTTTCCGGGCAATCTACTTAACCTTCGGGGACTTAAGACCAAAAACAAAACCAAGCAACCAAAAATTCAAACGGGATTCTTTTCATAAGGGTTTTTTCTAGACAACAAACCTCAAAAACAATTTTTTTTTAATTTTACTATTTTTTATACACATTTTTCTCAAAAAATCGAAAAAATGATGTCTTTTTGGGTCAATTTATCCCCGTAGAATTTTTAAGGTTTGTTGTCCTGTTTTTTAGATAAAAAATCGAACGGTTTTTGGTTTTTTAAAATCGATTCTGTAGATTTTAAGAAAAGTGTCTTCTTTTTTTCAAAAATGTGTTTTCTAGAAAAACGAGTTTAAAGTTTTTCGTAACTTATTACAATGAGTTAAGACACTGTCATAAAAATATTGATATAACTATTTCTTCAAAAATTATTTGGGACAGTAATTTTATGATACTGAGGAACATTTTATAAAGATGTTACAGGCTTCGCATTCATTTACTGAAACCTACTATTTACTACTTTTTTTACGTTATGCTACTATTTGGGTACTTTTTTTTAGATTTCAGCCACTAAAAGCTACTATTTCTGTTTCTTTTTGAGAATTTCCACTACTTTAAATTCGCTAATACTAGAAATCAAAAAACTATTCTCAAAAATTATAATCAAATTCTTTAACACGATTCAACTATTTTCAAACAATATTCGAAATTGATAAAATTCATCAAAAATTTAATTATTTTCATAAATAATAAAATTTACACACAAATTCAATTAATTTAGAATAGCATTTTCAAAAAAATTTCGAAAAAATCAATTATTTAACATGATTTTTATACAATTATTCATAATAGTTCAAATACTTTCACTAATAATAACATTTTTCATGGAAATTCAATTTTATAAAAAAATGTTGACAAAATTCTAAGCAAGAATTCAATTATTTTCATTAATAATAAAACTCGTCGAAGAATTTCAATTATTTTTAATACTATGTTAAATTAATTTATCGAAATATTCAATTATTTTCACAAATAAAGTTTTCCACAAGAATTCAATTATTTAAAATAAAATTTTCATAATATTTATTAAATTTCGGAAAAATTAATTATTTAAAACAATGTTTATAAAATTTTTATGAAGAATTCAATTATCTTAAAAAATAACAAAATTTTTCACAGAAATTCAATTCTTTTTCAACATTTTTAAATAAAATTTTTCGCAATAATTTAATTATTATCGAAACTAATAAAATTCTTCTGAGGAATTTAATTATTTTTAAAAATTTTCATAAAAATTCTTAGCAACTATTCAATTATTTTTATAAATAATAAAATTCATCGCAGGTTTTCAATTATTTTTGATACAATTTTACAAAAATTGCTAAAAAGTGTAATTATTTTTAAAAATTTAATTTCCATTCCTCAAAAAAATCATTTATTTAAAAAAAATGTTTTTTTTTAATTATTTGGAAGAATTCAATTATTTACAAAAATATTCGAATTTTTCACAGGAATTCAATTATTTTCAAATATTTTAATAAAATTGTTTGAAAGAAATCAATTTTTTTAAATACAATTTTAATTTAATTTCTTTGAAATAATTCAATTATTCTTTTAGATTTTAATAAAATTTTTCCCAAAAATTCAATTATTTACATAAATAATTCTTGGAAAGAGTTCAATAACTGTCGATAAATAACAAAATTATTTCCGAAAATTCATTTACCTATTTTGAGACATTTTAATAAAATCGTTCCCAAGAATTCAATTATTTTCATAAATAATAAAATGCTTTTTAGGTATTCAATGATTTTCAATATCTACTATTTTCATTAAATTTTCAAAAAGAATTCAATTATTTAAAAAATTTGTTGTAAAAATTTTCGCAAGAATTCAATTTTTTTCATGAATAATAAAAATTTCTCAGGAATTTAATTATTTAAGTTAGAATTTGCATAAAATTAGTCAAAAGAAATCAATTATAATACAATTTTAATTAAATTTCTTTGAAATAATTTAATTATTGTTTTAGATAATTTAATAAAATTCTTCCCAAGAATTCAATTATTTACATAAATAATTTTTCGAAAGTATTGAATTATGTCCATAAATAAGAAAATTGTTCGCAAAATTCAATTAGTTTCATAAATAACAATATTCATTACAAGAATTAAATTATTTTTCAAAGTAAAAAATGTTTTCTTGGAAATTCAATTATTTAGAAAAATTCCAATAAAATCGTTCGCAAGAATTCTATTATTTTCATGAATAATAAAATGCTTTTTAGGAATTCAATTATTTAAAAAAAAAAATTAATAAAATGTCACACAGACATTCAATTCTTCTTAAAAATGTTAATAGAATTCTTTGTAAAATTTAATTATTTTTAAAAACTTTTCTCAATTCAATTCTACTATTTTCATAAAATTTCCAAACAGAATTCAATTGTTTAAAAAATGTTTTATTAAAAGCTGCGTAAGAATTCAATTCTTTTCATGAATAATAACAATTTCTCATGAATTCAATTATTTAAATTAGAATTTGCATAAAAAATTAGTCGAAAGAAATCGATTATTTAAAAATTTTCATAAAATTCTTCGCAAGAATTAAATTATTTTCATAAATATTTAAATTCTTTAATGAATAATAAAATTCGTTGCAGGAATTCAATTTATTAGCAGTAGGATAGGAAAGAAGTAAATATTTTTGATGAAAATTAGGAAAAAGTGAGGAAAATAAAAAATATGGAATGTAATTTTTGGCAGTTTTGTGAAGTGTCTAAAAGGAGTTTTTTGGTCATGAAGTTTAATTTTTCGATAGCTACTTTTAAATTTCTTTTTTTAGTTTGGAAGCTACTGTTCGCTACTTTTTTAAAATTAATTTTCGAGTTCGAAGTCTGGATGTTTCATTTGTTTTTTTATTTTCTTTTTCCGCCTAATAACAAAGTTCTTTCAGATCTATGAATTTGGCTCCTCCAGTTTAATATTTTTAAGTTTTCTTTATTGCATTTGTTTTTTTCACTTTCTCAAAATATTTTCTCTAACCTGCGGGAAATAAGAGTTTCAATTTCTCTTTGATTTATTAAAATTGGTTACTTCATCAAAAGTTATTTGATTCTTCTACTTTTTTTCAATTTGTTAAAATTAATATTAACATTAATGAAAATACTGGCAAAATTATCTACTTTAGTTCATTACACATTAATGTCCAAAATTGTTGCCTAGAATTCAAGATGACAAAAAATCGCTAAGCAATTGAATTTTAGAACACTTTCTAATAACGAATTTAATGATTAAATTACCTACAAAATGAAAAACGGCGTATGCACTATATTAAAAAGAATGTTCCCATGTGGTAATATGCTTAAAATAATGTATCCTTGACCAAAAGTACTTAATTAATTTGTAAACATTTCTTAAGTTGAACCATATGTTAAAGAAAGTAAAATGACCTTCATAGGATACCAGAGGTTCAAGTTGCGGATACCGATGACAAGCTAAGTGTCATCATGGAGTCAACGAAAGAATATATTTCCAGCAGTTCAGGAAGTAGCATGCACACTCGAACAACGACATTAGGTTTCACATTGACGCGAGAAGACCTTGGAACCATTAAAGAAACATCTAGTCCAGGTTTGTATTTGAATGATGATGACAAATTTTTTATATTCTCGCTAGAATATATAAACTAACAAACTAACGTCCATCCTCTAGGTTTATTGTCGAATGATACTTTACTAGCAGCGAATCAAACCTATGATCAAAACATGAGAGCTAAAATTCAAGCAGTTCATGCTCAAAGTCCACGAACTGTTCAACGGAACGTCGATCAAATAACATCGGAAATTCAAATTAATTGCGATCTTAAAAAATCAATTAATTTCAATTTGAATAATGAACCTTACAATAACGAAATAAGTGATGAAAAAGTCAATACAATGGAATATGAGGAGCAAGAACCAATGGAAGAAGTGGAAGAAGAAGTTTTTGAATTACCAGAGGGTAATATTAATCCATTTGATAAGAATTTAATCGCTGGCCTGTTGAGAAAAATCAAGTTCCCACAATCTCAACATGCGGAAGGTTACGTAAGATTGAACTGCAATTTAAATAAATTTGTGCCTTCCACTATGATTACGCTTGGTAAATATAACAAACAAAAAATTTTTATTTACATAATGAACAATTTGTAGAGATTAGTTTGTTTATTTATTTCTTTTTATTTCTCAGGAAATCAAGCATATGACTTGGATAAGTGCCTTGGAAAAGGAACGTATGGAAAAGTTTTTAAAGCCGTAGATTTACAAACAAGACAAACCGTTGCCCTTAAAACTCAAAAACCTGCTTGGGTTTGGGAGTTCTATATTGCTCGAGAAATTAAGGCTCGTCTTACGAATCCTTACATGGTTTGCTTTTTTATTATATTATTATTATTATTATTCACTTTGCAAGGGAGTAGTCTGGTGCTCGGGCCTGTTTCTAAGGTATATTTCAGGACTTTTCAACAATTAACTATATTCTCCTTATTTTATTTTTAAATGAAACTTTGCATGTAAAACTGCAATGGGTGGTAGGCTGTCGTCGGAACTAGAATATAATATTTTTGTCAATAAACAATAAAATTGTGGGCTATTGAACAAACAACCACAAAAATCGTGTTTTTATTAACAAAAAGTTAAAAATAAAAATTTCAATGAAATTGTTTGATTCTAGTTTCGACGAGAGTCAGTTTTTTATTTATTTTATTTATTTACAACATAAGATCCTGCGATCCAAAAAGGATCATAAATGGGTAACGAGAAGTCGTACAATCAGGGATTTTTATTAAAAATACTGGAAAAAATTAAATGTTTAGAATTTATAAGAAAATTCTGAATTTTTTTGTCTTTTTGTTTGTCTCATTTTAATTTCAATTCTGTTGAAATTAGTTACAATTTTAAAAAATTTAACGCAATTCTTTGAAAGTATTCAACTATCTTAATAAATATCAAATTTTTTTTCAGAAATTTAATTATTTAAAAAAAAAAATTATCATCAACATTTCAATTATCTTTATAAATAGCAAAATTCTTTACCAAAATTCAATTACATTCAGGAATTTTATAAAAAATTCAATTATTTTCAAAATTAATAATAATCTTCGAAAAAATTCAATTATTTTCAAAAAAATCTAAAAAAAATAAAAATTGTCGTCAACATTTCAATTATCTGTATATAAATGAATAGCAAAATTCTTCGACAAAATTCAAGTATTTTCATGAATTTTGTAAAAAATTCATTACAAAATTCAATTATTTTCATAAATAATAATATTTCATCATTAGAATTTAATTATTTTCAAAATTAATAATATTCTTCGAAAAAATTCAATTATTTTCAAAAAAATCTAAAAAAAAAAAATTATCGCCAACATTTCAATTATCTGTATATAAATGAATAGCAAAATTCTTCGACAAAATTCAATTATTTTCAGGAATTTGAATAATATTCATTGCAAAATTAAATTATTTTCATAAATAATTGAAAAATAAAATAATAATAAAATTTAATTATTTTCAAAAATTTTAATAAAATTCATGGCAAAATTACAATTATTTTCAAAAAATTTTCTTAATTCAATGATTTTCAATATTCTACGATTTTAATAAAATTTTCCAAACGAATTCAATTATTAAACAAAAATTTTAATAAAATTGTATCCAAACATTTAATTATTATAATCATAAATAATACAAATTTCCCAGGAATTCAATCGAATTTCTAGAAAAATGAAATTATTCTTAAAAATTGTATTAAAAATCGTCAAAAGAATGTAATATTTAAAAATTTTTTTTATAAAATTCTTTATTAAAATTCAATTTTTTGAGAAACATTCAAGTATTAAATAAATTATTTAATTTCGTATTTAAATAATTGAATTCTCGTTGTATTTTCTAATAAAAATTGATTTAAAAATTTATTTCAGTTAAAGTTTTAGATATATAATTGAATTTTGGAGAATTTAGTAATAATTACAATTTTTAGAAATAATTGAATTTTGTAAAGGCTTCAAATAAAATATCTTAATTTTTCATACTTTCAATTAAAAATTCTTTGGAACTAATTTTCTTCAAAAAGCTTCATCGAAATTTTTAAAAATTATTTAATGTTTTTATTTTCTAATGCATATTTAATTAATAATAAATTATTTAATTATTATTAAATATATTTAATATATTTAATATATTTTATTATTTAATTATTTAATTAATAATTTCTGAATAATCGTTTACGTAAAATTGAATTGTAAACAAATGGATTTGAAAATTGTCGAAGTACTTTTTCAAAAATTATTAAAAATAATTTATTTCAAGAAGAATTTTAGTGAAAAATTCTAGAAAATAATAATTGAATTGAAATGATGACAATAATTTTAAAGAAGTTACAGTAATAATATTCTTATAATGTAAAATAATGATTTTATCACTTGGTCAAGTTTAATTATTATAAAACATGAAGAAATGAAGACTCGGAGTAATCCATTTCTTCATGTTTTACAATAATATTTTTAAAGTTTATTAATTTCAAAAAGGTTTGAATTTGAATGTTTTGAAGAATTTTAATTTCTACGGAAGGATAATAATGATTAAATATTTATTTAAAAATGAAGTCATTGGTGTTTTTGAATAATTTTACAATTAATGAAATTCGTAAATAAATGTAACGGAACATTTTCTTTTGAGTATTTAATAATTTTTAGAATGAATCAGAATATTCTTTAGGGTCAGGGAAAAAGGCAAAATCAGTCAGGAAGAAGTCTGGATATCAGGGAAAAATTAGGGAAAAAGAAAATTAAATTTTTGTTGCAACCCTGTTAAAAGAAAGTCTGTAGTCAAAGATGACACCGAGGTCACAAGTCTTTCTTTCAAGTGGAGATTTTATGAATTTTATTTTACTTATTATTATTTTGAATAATTTACCTAATAACTTTTGAAAGAAAAACGTATAGAACTCGATTTTAGTTATTGATGTTGGGGGGTTTTTCATGACGTTTACCAATCTGGGGTTATTTTTTAAAAATTTAATTGCACTTTGCACCTCAAACACCAGACTACATTCTTAATTTAATTTTCTGTTGAGCGATTTCTACTGGAATTTTCTGTAATTTTCAGTTACGTGGATTTATGGACATTCAAACTGCCTATGTTGCTGATAATAGTAGTGTTTTAGTTTCTGAATACTCGAAATATGGAACTCTCTTATCAGTGACTAATCAGGTGAAAGTAGCGACAGGAAAGCCACTACACGAAGCTCTAGCAATATTTTTCACTATTGAAATGTTACATATTGTCGAATATTTACATAAATGTCAAATTATACATGGAGATATTAAGCCAGACAATTTTCTTCTCATGCATTTGTAAGTTTTTATTCGCATTTATAATAATGAAGCATTGTAATTTGAGAGTGAATAATATAAGTTTTTCTGCTTCATAGGCCAACGGAAGATGCAAGACCGACAATTCAGTTGATTGACTTTGGATGTAGTATTGACATGAGTCAGTTCCCAGAGAATACAAAATTCATGCAAGTCATTAAGACCGAAGAATTTACTTGCATTGAAATGCAAACAGGAAAACCGTGGACTTATCAGACTGATCTGTATTGTCTAGCTGCTTCTAGTCATTGTCTACTTTTCGGTAGTTACATGCGTGTTTCAAATTCAGGAGGTCGCTGGTTTATAAACTCCAAAATTCCCAGGTAAATCACATTTTTCATTTTAAACTAATTCTTTGTTTGAAAAATCGGAGCCTTTTTCCGTATTTTATATTTTTTATTTTCTACAGACGAATCTGTGATCAGATTTACTGCTTCAAGTCTAGATTTTTTCAAAACTTTAACATTGTGGTGAATTATTTTTTAAATTTATTTATTTGATGTGTAATTCATCTTAAAGGAATTTTATTTTTCGATTTGGAACACTAAAATAACTCTATTTGTTTATAAAAAATTACCGAATTTTGCATTAAAAAATAATATTTTTCAATTTAACTCTCTGCTGATGCTAACGACCGTTATCGTCAAAAATCGTCATTCTGGACGCCTGGTGGGGACTATGGGAGTTACGTTCTTTGGCGATAGAGTGGGGATAAGTTAGCATCAGCAGAGGGTTAACATAAATTCCTTAAAAGTACATATATTTGTCAATAAAATCCCAGTCTTGAAATATTTTTTTAATATAAGCTCTAGAAACTGTGAATTTTTTTAAAAAATGGTGTATAAAACTTAAATTGTTTAGAACTTTTTTAATTTAAAAATTTCTTTTAGATCCTTTTAGGATATCATTACTTACAATAATAGCTACAAGAAAGTGTAATTGGTTTTAATTCTCATGAATGTTGGTGAAACAGGGAACCAGTTCATGGAGCCTGACTCATATTAGAGTGTCTTCTACTCGAATATGAAGTCAAAAAATCTAAAAAATTATTTAAAAATTTTTTTTTACATAAAAAGAAAAAATTGCAAGATTTTTAAAGCTTTTTTTTTATTTTACAAATTTCTAAATTTACATGTAAAACAATGTTTTCAACAGCTAATAATTCCATAAATCGTGAACACAATTCAGGGTGGCCGCAAGTCAGGGAAAAACTGGAAATCAGGGAAAAGTAAGGGAATTTTGAAAATAAAATTTTGCGGCCACCCTGTAATTGTTACATTTTAAAAATATACGGCAACCTTATGATTATAAACTTTCGGGGTCTCTGATTACGAATATGATATCAGATCTCTAAATTTCAAAATGGCGGATCCAATATGGCGGACGAAATTTTAAAAAAACTCAGTCGAATTCGTTTGAAAATGCATTCTTCCATTTACTTGTGGAAAAACTGTATGAAAATGGCAAAAATCCCCCAGTAAGTATTTTCAAGACAAATTTATGAAAAATGGTACATCGAACCATAAATATCAAATTTTCCAAAATTTTTGAGTTTTCAGGCGTCATTTTAAAAAATGAAAAGGTTTTTCGTATATTTTGAAAGTGTAACAAATGAAGGCACGATATTTAATTAATTATTAAAGATAATGGATTTATAGAAGAATTTTAATTAAAGACTAAAAAAATTGAATTTTAGGGAAGTTACAAATGATTGCAGAAATTCAATTATTTTTAAAAGTAATAAAATTCTGTACAAAAATTTAATTATGCTCAAAATTTTTTTTAAATTCTCGTTAAAATTTTGTTTATTTTTGTAAAGAATTAAACTTCTACTCCGAAATTCAATCTTATTTAAAAATTTTAATAAAATGTTTATCAGAATCTTAATTATTTTCAATTATTTTCTTCAATTCAATGATTTTCAATATCTACTATTTTAATAAAATTTTCCAAAAGAATTCAATTACTTCAAAAAAAATTGTAATGAAATTCTACGGAAACATTTAATTATTTGCATAAATAATAAAAATTTCACAGAAGTTCAATTATTTACAAATTTTTTATAAATTTCTTCGCAGTACAATTATTTTCATAAATAATAAAATTCATTTTAGGAATTCAATTATTTTTTTAACTAATAAAACTCATATCAGAATTTCAATTATTTTTAATACAATTTTAATCGAATTTCTCTAAAAATTTAATTTAATTTTTCGAGGAATTCAATTAAAATTTTTAATAATTTTATTAAAATTCGTTGTATATAAATTACACTGGTTTACAGTGAAATTGTCAATCGAACAAAACAATTTTTTTTCGAATAGTAGGTGTTTTTTGAGTAAGAAAATCATAGTTTTAATTTTTTTCCCTCGTGCAGTTTTTCTGTAGCTTCAAATTTTGCATTTTCGAGGTGCGACGCCACTTAAATTTACCTGTAGGAAAATTAGCTTGTCAAAATATAATAAATGAGGTATCACTGGAAAGGTTATTAAATTACCTTTCGATCCATAGGTCACAGAATAAAATTCAACAAAAATTGAGAGAGTTACAGTCGATTAAAGATGAAATTTCATGACAATTTTGATGATTTTTAGACATTTGAGTAACTTCTACTATTTTTTTCTACATCAAACAGGAAAGAATGTTTAGGTTTTAATTTTTTTATTGATAGACAATATGATTACAATAAAATTGAAGTAATAAAATTTAGTTAAGCTCTAAAGTTACTAAAATCACTAATAAAGGATTTCTGAAATCGTAGATTTCGAATCCAATGTTAGTTTTCTAAATTTCAAAATGGCGGATCCAATATGGCGGACAAGTTTTAAAAAATCGATTAAATTCGTCTTAAATTCGTTACTCGGGGGTTTTCGGGGTCGCTGATTACGAATCTGATGTCGGATTTCGAAAATTGAAAAGGATGGATTCATAATGGTGAACGAGTTTTTTAAAATCCATCGAATTCGCACCTATTGGATCCGCCATTTTTAATTCTTGAAATCTTACATCAGATTCGTAATCAGCGACCCCGAAAACCCCCGAGTAACGAATTTAAGACGAATTTAATCGATTTTTCAAAACTTGTCCGCCATATTGGATCCGCCATTTTGAAATTTAGAAAACTAACATTGGATTCGAAATCTACGATTTCAGAAATCCTTTATTAGTGATTTTAGTAACTTTAGAGCTTAACTAAATTTTATTACTTCAATTTTTGCTGCAAATGTTTATGGGATTCTAGAAATGAAGAAAGTAGTTTCGTTCACTAAATTTAGTGTAGAATTGTCATTTTTAATCCAATCGAGGTCCACATGGGCTCAAAATTTTTGTAATCATATTGTCTATCAATAACAAAATTAAAACCTAAACATTCTTTCCTGTTTGATGTAGAAAAAGATAGTAGAAGTTACTCAAATGTCTAAAAATCATCAAAATTGTCATGAAATTTCATCTTTAATCGACTGTAACTCTCTCAATTTTTGTTGAATTTTATTCTGTGACCTATGGATCGAAAGGTAATTTAATAACCTTTCCAATGATACCTCATTTATTATATTTTGACAAGCTAATTTTCCTACAGGTAAGTTTAAGTGGCGTCGCACCTCGAAAATGCAAAATTTGAAGCTACAGAAAAACTGCGCGAGGGAAAAAAATTAAAACTATGATTTTCATACTCAAAAAACACCTACTATTCGAAAAAAAATTGTTTTGTTCGATTGGCAAAAAAAAGTTTTTAATTTGTAAACCTGTGTTAATAGATATTTTTCTTTATATCAATATTATAAGACATTATAAGGGTCATTAATGATATTTTTTACAATAATTGAATAATTAGTTATAATTTAAATATATTATACTATTTGAAAAAGTATCAGATTCTGCTGGGCATTTTGGGACAATTATGTTGTATTTTCCTCAAACAGTTAAGGGGTTAAAAAACATTCAATTATTCAATAAATTTAATTATTTTTATATTAAAATAATTGAATTCTCGAAGAATTTTCTAATAAAAATTGATTTAAAAATTAATTTCAATTAAAATTATAAATAATAATTGAATATTAAAAGCATTATAGCGTTAATTTTTAGAAATAATTGAATTTCGAAAAGGTTTTAAATCTAAATCTTTCAAAATTTGAATTTTCCATACTTTTAACTATAACAATTGTGTAAAATGAATTTTTTTGAAAAAGTTTAATTTAATATTTTTTAAAATTATTTGAAGTTTTTTTTCTAATATATATTTAATTGAAGAATTTCCGAATAATCGAAATTTCGTAAAATTGAATTGTAGACAAATGGATTTGAAAATTCTCGAAGAATTTTTTCAAAAGTTATTTAAATAATAATTGAATTGATTTATTATTATGAGTAATTTAATTTCAAAAGGGTTTGAATTTAAAATTTGTTAAAAATCTTAATTTCTATAAAAAATAATAATGATTAAATGTTTATTTAAAAATGAAGTTATTGATGTTTTCGAATAATTTTACAATTAAAGAAATTCGTAAATAAATGTAACAGAATTTTTTTTTTGAGTATCTAATACATAATTTTTAGAGTAAATAAGAATATTCTTTCGGGTGAGGGAAAAAATCAAAATTTTGTCTGGAAATCAGGGAAAAGACAGGGAAAAACAAAATAAATTTTTTGTGGCAACCCTGTTGTGGGTTTCTCAGATCTTGTAAAAGTTCAACTGTTAGTTAATATACTGAACCAGAAGAAATTTGATTTCACGATAATTGATATGAAAAAACAAAATACCGAAAAATGTTTCTTTCTTTATTTTAAGATATGCCAAAAGGGACGCCTGGGAAAAATATTTTACGGACCTTTTAAACATTGAGTCTTGTGATCGAATGCCAGACTTACCTAAATTGAGAAACATAATGGAAGAAGCTCTGAGTAAGGTGTCGGAACGCCTAGCGAAAATTAGAAGTTTTTGCAATGTCCTTAATAATCGATAACGCTTACTCAATTCCAGCAAAGTTATCGATGCCTGAAGGTATACACACAGATTTAGAAAAGAACCAACACTTATAAATTAATTAAAATGACATTATCATACTATTTATTACATAGTTTATAATCATATTCCCGTCTAGTTGCACATAATTAGACGTAGACGTTCGGCCTGCTTCGTGGAAGCCCCAAATGTTACTTTTCAGAAATTGTTACAAAAATCTTGTTAAATTACATATTTTCTCGGTATTATACCAGAAAAAAAGTGTTATTAATATAAAACTTTGATCAACTGAATCATCATCACTCGCATTCCCTGTCAAATCGCTAATCCACTTGATTTCAAATTTAATGACGAGAAACATTTCTTTCTTGTGGTGACTTTCGCCATAATTATTGCTCTGACAAGTTGTGTTTTAAATTCATGATAATTTTGATCAGTAAAATTTAAAATTACTAAATGTCATGAAATTTATGCGAGTGGCGAAATGTTCAAATGGGAATTTGAATAAAAAAATACTTTTTACTGCGGAAAATTATATTCTGAACCCGTTTTGATAAAAATATTAATTTTTTAATATTTCTTCTTAGACATTTTTTGTTTTTTGAACTTTATGTAATTTTAATTTCATTTTTAATCAAAAGAGTTTGGAAAAAACTTTGTATATCAATAAAAAAAACAAAAAATTTTTTTTAACAAGTTTTTTCATTTTAATTGCGTTTTTCAATTTTGTATGAAGTTTGGAAATTTCTTTCCTATTCGAAAAATTGATTTTTTTAAAAATAAAACATTCGGAATTTAATTTTCTGCCATTTTTTATATAAATAAAGAAACAAAATTAAGACATAATGTCATGGCAACTGTGGCCTCAAATTTATTCTATTATCGGTTAGACTACTTCAAGTAATTCTAAAATGTAAGTGTTTCTTTCTTTAATTATTTTATTTTCAAGAGCTCATAAAAAATGGTTTATAATAATTATGCCAAGATAAATTTAATTTTAAGTATTTTGGAAATTTTTTTATTAATTTACATTATTTAAACAGATCATTTTTTATTATTTAAAAAAATAAATTATTAAAAAAATTATTATTATAAAATATTATTATAATAAATAATATTATAATAATATTATTATTATTATTATAAAATTATTTATTTTTTTATTTTTTTATTATTAAAATGTTCATTTAAACAATAATTTGTAAATGAGAATTTTTTAGTCTGTTATGAAGAGAGAATTTAACTATTTTAAATTATTTTTCTCTCTAATTAATAATTTTTTGGTTTATTTATTGAAAACCATTTTTACTGAGTCTTTTTATTTATAATGTATTTCCGATATATATATATATTTTTATATGTTAAAATAAAAAAATCAAGTTTTGCGATTAATTTTTATATTCACATTTATTTTTAAACGTAAATGTTGAACGTGAATATTGTTCAATATTATTATAATTTTTTGTAAATAGCCGATACATGCAGTACACACAAAATAATTGTTATGTCATCATTTCACTCTCTTTGTTCTTAGTTAAAAACGCGCTATTTACATTTTTGAGGAGAAAAAAAAAAGAATTGGAGTAAATTCGATTAATCTACTCTTTAATTTAAGAATATAATTTGTTTTAAATAATTAAATATATTTAATTGCAATTAAATAATTATTTATTTTTGAAAATAAACATTGAATTCATTGGTTTTTATTGAAGTAAATTCTAATTCTTTCGAACAAGGGATCGAATACAATGAATTTCCTGAAAGGGAATAATTTTATTATTAAGGGAATGTCAAAATCTTGTGAAGTTTCGTAAAAAATTGAAATAATTCTGACATACTCTTAAGAGTATTTTGAATAAGATTTTTTAAAAATCGGAATTTATCTCAAAATTTTGAAATAAATTTTTATAAGAGTACTCGTTGATTAGTAATGTTTACATGAGAAATACAATTTGTTCTGTATAACATTTTCCAGTGTTTTCAGATTTCAAATGTTAGTGGCACGTTTTTAAATCAAGAACATCAGAGTATGATGATTTTCACAAAATATATCTGTTTCACTCACAATATATACATTTTAAAAGCATTTAAAAAAATATCTTTTCTCATTTTGTATGCAGTACAAAATTAATATTAATTATAAAATTTATCTAAATATTGTACTTTGAAGTCGGTGGTCTTGATAATTGTAACGAATATGTAAGAAGTATACTTTGTAAATATTACCGAATCTTAAATATTATTGCAACAAGTGAGACATTAAATTTACAACTTAAAGATAGATTTTGAAATAAAAAATGTAATTTTACATTTTTCCAAATTATTATACTTCTTTTTTTTAAACATCATTCTTTTGAATAAACACATTATTCACTTACTCATTTTCTTTTTAAATAATCAGCTTCCACTAAGCAGTTGCCATTAAATAATACACATGTAAGAATATAACGAAAAAAAGGAAAATATTAATAAATATTTCAGAACTATGTTTGAATTATCCATTGTTAAATTTTATATAACATACAAAATTATTATTTATGCAATATAAAAGAAATTACAATGCTAAATGTTGATAGTATATAAATACAGAAGCGGATTGTCAATGAAAGTGACACATGTTCAAAAGCACAGAAAATATGCCTTGTCTTTAATTTGATACAGCATTAAAAAAAAAATATGTATGCGTAATAAAAATGTAATTTTCTTTCGATATAACAGTTATATTACTAGTATGTACAATTGCTTCTTATTGTTTTATTTCGATATGAAAAAACAACACCTTTTTTATCTCTGTATTTTCAATACAGATAAATATAAATAGTGATCATGTAATAATTGGTATACGAAATTTATAAAACCTCTCTCTTAATTCAATTCTCGAAATATGTTCAAATAACTGTACGCTAAAGTTGAAGACAAACTTTTACAAAATTTCTGATTATAAAATAGATATTGTGCTAATTTTTTCATTTATTTCTCAAAAGTCTGAAAGTTTTGTTAGAAAATCGTGAGAATAACAACCAGAAATTATGCAAACTTTTAAAATTATTTGTAGAAAATACTTGATGAGATTTTGTTTTTTCTTTTATTTCTAAAAAAAAATTGAAATTTTATTACAAAATTGTAATTGAGAAATAGAAATGGTGCAAATTATTTCTTAAACCAGAATTTTTTTAAACATTAAAAAAAGAATCATTTGATAGCAATGAAACGTACCTCAATAATTACCTACTTTATTAATGAATAGAAAGACTAAAAATACTCGCGATTGGATGAACCGATTTTAATAAAAATTGGAGGAGAACTTAATGAGGAATTGTACCTACTTTAGATAAATGATCAAAATTTTAATTAAAAAATATAATTTGTTTAAATAAAGTAACTTTCCAATTCCTCATTAAGCTCTCCTCCAAGTTTTATTAAAATCGGTTCATCCGATTGGGAGCAATTATTGGCTATTTACTATAACGCTACCAATAACTTTGACCTTTAATAACTTATTCGAATTTTGGAAAACTATTTACAGGTTTTTATTATACTATCATAGACTCACTTTAGGAATTTTAACTTATAATTAGTACTTTGTTACACTGAGTTTGTTGCAACTCTTGCTTTCCACGCCAATTTTTGGATATGTTTTGCGTAAGAATTCTTATAGATAGAAACTCAAAAATCTTTTATTTATTTTTATTTATTATCATGGAATATTTATTTGTATTGAATCATCATTGAGTATGAAAAGTATAAGGAAACTAATAAAATTTCAGCTCGAAAGCATTCAAAATTAATGTAATTACAATATTTTAATATGACAGGCAACATAACCTCAATTATTTTTAACTATATTACTTTTACGACTTTTACCAATTTTCATGTCCTCACCAGGGATGGGTACGTATTATACATGATGTATTATACCTGGTTTTCTACACGTATAATACGTGGTATTATACATCTTTAGTTTTCTACGTATGTCATGTATTTTACATACATTGCGTGACGCGCGGGATTTTTAAATTTTAGACAAGAAACATGTGATTTTAATAGTATATTAAATAAATTTTAAACATAATTTCAATTTAAAAATTTATTAATTAACATTGAAAAGTTTTTTTAAAATTTATGTTTTAAAGAAATAGCACACAAACAAAGTTCTAACTGTTCGTGGTCAGGTCAGGTTGTCTGCTGCCGCCAGACCCATTTATAGGTTATACATCTCCATGTGCCAGGCCATGTGTCAGTGATTGTTGTACAATATTGCTTTTTTTAAAATAAAAAAAAATTAACAAAAGAGGTGGAAGGCCGAAACACAATTCCTGGGAGGAATTGTGTTTTATTCCCAAAAATAATAAAGGGAAAAATGTTGCCCTGTGTCCTATTTGCAACAAAACATTGCAAAATACAGCTATAATAATAATTTAGTACTTTTGTATGAAAAAGTTTATTTGAAACCCGTTTATTTTCAAATAAATAATAAATTAACGTGTCTTTTTAAAATTGTTCTATATAAATATATAATACAAGTTATGAAAAAATGTGTGTAAAAAACCATATGAAAAATCAATAAATATATATTATACGCATTTTTTTGTAAACTTACCTTATATGTAACCTTTTTTGGTTTTTTCTTGGTATTTTTAGCAACAATTTAGTAATGAAAACCAGGAAACAAATAAAAAATAATCAAACATATGATTTTTATTATTATTGTGAGGTTTGTACGCATGCGCAGAACTGGACATGTATAATACCAGGTTTTCTACAATTTTCTACGTATTATACGTCATTTATGTATTATACGTAGAAAACTCCGAAAAAAACACTTTTACCCATCCCTGGTCCTCACTTGATCGACGAACGCGCACGCGCAGTCGACTTTGACTTAAAGACAACTGTTGCCAACTGTGACAATTAAATTCATTATGATTGATTTCGATCTAATGTAATTAATTAATAATTAGTTAATTAACTATAAATCAATTAATTATTAATAATTAATTAATGTTACATGTAATTACGATAAATTTACTTGTCAGAGTTGGCGACAGTTGCCTTCCAGTCAAAGTCGAGGTCGACATGGAAATTGGTATTGGAGAATCGCCTTTACTCTTTACTGTATATACCTATGTCAAGAAGAACTTGCCTGGACTTCCCTTGACAAGCTTCGTTTGGAAGCGTTGAAATCGTTGAAATGATCTTTTGTTGCAAAAGCAGTGCGACGAGACCAAAATCAGCTCGGAATGTATATGTAAGTAACGAAAGTGTCAACATCAATTTTACCAATTTCACTGTTTCAATTTGAGATGTAACGTCAGATAGCTGAGCGACAAGAAACAGACGAAACAATGCTATTTTTTGGAGAGAAAAATTTGTATTCACCTTTGTTAATTTTATTCACATTTTAAACATATATGGGAATCAGTTGCTGACATAAGTAAAAATAAAATGTGTTGATGGTTAAGTGTGTTATATGTATATTTGACTCAATTGGATTATGGTAGATTCTCTGAGTTTGTAATCAAATAAAATTTTTCAGGTTAGGGGTGTTTGTTTACTAAATTCATATTTTACATTCAAGTTAATAAACAAACATCCCTAACCTACAAAGTAACATTTAATCAATTTAATCACAAATTAAAAGAATATACCAATATGCAATTGAATAAAATACATTCAAAATTTAATTAACAAAACACAGTTTATTTTTATTTTATGTCAACAATCATTTTCCACGTCCAATATATGAGTAAAAATCATAAAAATGATAAAAGCGGATGTAAATTTGTTTATACCATAACTCTGACATCACAAGTGAAACAGCCTTACAAAAAAATTTTATTAATCGCCAAATCGGTCAAAGAGCGAATTAAATTATCAATATAATCTTCGTAATGTTAAATGAAAAATATGTTTTTTTATGTATCCTTTACATTTTAACGAAGTGAAAATTGATAGAGTAAGTGCATCAATTACGGACAGATTTTAAGAATTTGATTGATATTTAATTGTTTAAGGTAGGTAAAAAATTAAAATAAATTACAAAATTATTTGAACTTATTAAACTCAAGCAAAAAGTAAAAATACGAAAACTTTATATTTATCTATATTTTAATTAAAAATTTCTATTTCTACATATACAGTAAAAACAACCGCTAGAAGTTATATAGATACTTTAACTATTTTTTACAGTTGTAACTATAAATCGTTACTGCGCCTTCCGGAACTATATGAAAACTGGTTACTATAACTAAATGAACCAGTTAATATAACTGACTACAAATAGTTACAATAACTTTTTAATAATTAAATTTACTGTAATAAATTGTACTTATTACTATATTTTACAGTTAGACTAACTAATCTGTCATAGTTCTTTTTAATACAGTTTGTTATACTGACGCCTCCAAAAACTACAATACAATTACGATCTATCTATAGATCTTACTGATCTAGATCTTTTTTAGTTTAACAAAGACACTCTTTAACTATATAAAAAACGTTTTATTAAAAAAATATTATTTGTTTATTTCAAATTTAACAATTCTTTTAGCTCTGCAAGAAATACCGATTCCAGCTGTGTATGTCTTTTTTCAGATTAGAAAACTAAGAAATGCAAAAACCAAAAAGATTTAATTTAAGTAGGAGATTCCGGGATATTAAAAATGTCATAAAATTAATATTAAAATTCACAATAGCGTATTTTGTAACATTTTGAATTTTTTAAAAATAATAATTTGGGGAAAAGATGTCTTAATTATGATCTTATCAAGTTTCGCAAAAATCGGTCTACCCTTTGCAAATCGTAATATTTCTGACCCGACCAGCGATTTTCTATGTAAAAAAATCGATTATTCAAAAAAAGCGGGGGACTCAAAATATATTACTTCAGTAAAAAATAATTATTAATCCTTCAAATTTGGATATTTTTATAAACTTTTTATAAACTTTCAAAATAAAACTTATTTGAAACATAATTTGCTTCATCGGTTATTAACCCTATCAGTTCCTGTGGTCAATATATCGACCGCTATTTGAGGCTTGTATTATTATTCATCATAACTTATATAGTATAGCTGGTAATTTATTTTTATTTTTTTATCATTCAAAGTCGATCTAGTAGCATAATCCTCCAGGCATCACAGTATTTTTAATTATAACTTTAATATTAAGAAAATTTTTAAATATCTGCATCACATAATCAATAGGTAAATAAGGTACATTAATTAATGATAAAAATAAACATTGGCACTGAAAATATATCATCTCTAATAACTCTTTATCTTTCCTATTACTGCGTAAAAAAATTAAAAAATATTTCAGAAAACTATTTATAAGCCGTTTTGTTGTGAGCGACTTTACCCCTAAATGAGGATAAATTCGCTTACCATATTATTATACATATTACACTGTCAAAATATATTATAATCTGCAAAAATAAAACTAAGTATTCTTTAAAATCAATAAAAAAAAATTAAGAACTATGTCTAAAGTTATTGGAATAAATATTTAATATTGTTTTATAAATAAGTAATTAGATTCAAATTAAACGTATATACTCATAACCATAAAAAATAAGGTTAAATTTGACAGTTTCGGGCTTTAACCGTTTTAAATTATTTAATTTTCAGTTATAAGAGTATACTATTATTAAAAAAATCAAATTATAAATTAAAATAATTAATATACTTAAAATATCAAGATGTATCGTAAAAAAATTCTTGAAAGCATATTCTTAATCTGCCGCTGCGTGAAATTTGTATTTTATCATATTTTTATTTGTAGCCAAATTCAAAATTCACCGTCTCAAAATTGACGAATTATGAAATTCTTACGACCATTATATTCAACTAAAATGAATAATTACCATCGGTAAAATTAATTAATAACAAAAATATAAAATCACTTTCATTAAAAAAAACAATCTCAATTACCTTAACACCTTAACCCCCAAAAAACTACCCCTAAGTGAATAATCAACAACGTTACACATTAAAAAATCCCAACCCTGCTAAACATTTGCAAAAATTATAAATAAAATCAACTAACTAGTCAGATTTCATTTCCATGCTAAATTTAATCAATCAATCCCCAAAAACTACCCCTATTTGAAAAATTGACCAAATTACACGCTACAAACATTATTACTCTGCAATTCTTTACGAAAATTAAAAATAAAATCAACAACTAACTAGCCAGACTTCATTTCCATGCTAAAGTAAATCCATCAACCCCCAAAATCTATACCTCTAAAATTGAAAAATTAAAACTACAGTCCAACCTGTCGTAATGCAACTTTATTTTCAACATTTTTTTTGTTTTCAAAAATATCCAAGAACAATTATTTTCACTTAGTTTTAGAATATTTTAAAAATATTACAGAATTAAATTATACAACAATTTTTTAAGCTTTAAGGATTGTTTACTGTAATAAAACTTTTAAAATTGAGTTGCATTCCGACCGATTCGACTGTATTTAAAACGAATGAAATTATTTACGTTATATTATTACTCGAAACTATAAATCAAATCAAATAAAAAAAATAAGTTCCGGACGTCGCTCCTACTTTTTCTAGAACAGTTTCTCTGTATTAATACAGAGTTATTAATTATGCCGGGAGAGGAAGCGATGAATAACCGCCCGAGGCATATTGGCTAATGAAGGAAAATTATTATTTATAAGTTCAAATTTTATTATATACTAGCTGTCGTACCCGTCTTCGACGGGTTTTAGTTTATACCAATACATTTAACAATGTTTCTACCAATCTGGAAAATCAGAAAAAGCCGAAAATTTAATTTGACCGGAAAATTAATAATTAGTTACCAATAGCTATTTCGGTATTATAATATTACTATTTGAATAGTCTTCACCTTTTAGCAAAAAATAAAAAATTATCAAAAATTCGAAAAACCCAATTTCTTAAAATTTAACATTATTTTCTTCTCTTTTATAACATTAAGCTTTATTATTTTTGTGCTTTTGGAAAATACTTTACTTATTAAATTGTCTCGACTCTTTGGTAAAAAATCTAAAATTATGGAAAATTATCAAAAATTCAAAAAACCGAATTTCTTAAAATTCAACATTTTTTCTTCTTTTTTATAGCATTTAGCTTCATTATTTTTGTGCTCTTCAAAAATATTTTACTTATTTAATAGTCTCCATTCTTTGACAAAAAATTAAAATTATGGAAAATTAGCAAAAATTTAAAAAACCGAATTTCTTAAAATTCACCATTTTTTCTTCTCTTTTATATCATTTAGCTTTATTATTTTTGTGCTCTTTAAAAATACTTTACTGAATTTGTTATCTCCACCCTTTCGTAAAAAATCTAAAATTATGGAAAATTAGCAAAAATTTAAAAAACTGAATTTCTTAAAATTCAACATTTTTCCTTCTTTTTTATGGCATTTAGCTTCATTATTTTTGTGCTCTTTAAAAATAATTCATTTATTTTATAGTATCCACCCTTTGGTAGAAAATCTAAAATTATAGAAAATTATCATAAAAATATTTATTATAAAACATCTCCATTTTTAAAGTCTCTGAACTTCTTTTAATTAAAGAAAACTGAATGAATTGGATAAATAATTATGAATTGCATTATTATTCGACTTTAAAATCTTAATCAGAGACCTTAAAAATACTACTAAACTTGATAGTAATTAATATACTTGTATTTTAACCATAAAATTCTTTTCTGAAAGCAGATTTTTCAAACTGAATAAAACTATAGAAGGTAGATCCATCTACAAAATGTTCATAATACTCAAAACTATTTTTGTTATTCTATTGTTTTTAAAAGTTCTTCTCTCGTTCCTTAATTTTCAATTGACAAATATTTTCTTTGACTAATACTGACCGAATTTAAAAATAAAATTGTAATAAAGGTAGCCAGAATAAATATCTCATTATATGAAGTATATTACATATTTCTTAGGATATGTATAATTAAACATTAATTTATTATCTTTATTGTTGATCACATTTTGTTACTCGTAATTTACATCATATTTCGTCATTCTCGGGTCTTCTGGCGTCCATACTTTAGCAAACATTGTCCCATTGGAAGAGGTTTCCGATTTTCGAGACCAAGAAAGTGAGTGAGATATAAAAGAGTTAACACCACTGCCTGTAAATAAATATTGAAGAATTATTGTAATTATAGTTATTTAAAGTTGTAGGAGAGAAAATTTGAAAGTAATGTTAAAAAATATTGCTTCTTACCTCGAATTATAATTTTTTTAGCATCGTCCCTCAGTGAACATCTTCCCGATAAACTATTATTGCCATTTATTTGTTCATTCCCTTTGTCTGCTCTAACAAGTTCGTTCAGGAAATTAATGTATCCAATTGCAAGTTTTAATGTATCCACCTTGGAAAGTCTTTTCTCATAGGGTAGTGTAGGTATGTGGGCTCGTAATCCTTCAAAAGCGTCATTTATGCTTTGCATGCGTCTCCTTTCTCTGAGATTAGCTGCTTGTCTTTGTTGAATGATTTGTCGAGAACATTTGGCAGAACCCGAATTTCGTCGAATAAGACGTGTTTGTCTAGAAAAGGAAACAATAAATTACTCTGATTTCCATAGTCAACAGGGACTTTAAAAATTAAGAAATTATTAATTTAAAGAATTTTCTAGGTCAATTTCCAATTAATTCTTTAAATTAATATATTAAAAAACTACAAAAGACATTCATCTCATTCAAAAAATTATATTAATCATTATAATTAAGGGTTTAAGAGAAAATTATTTTAAATGTGGGACTTTTATTTTAAAAATTATTATAGTACAGAAATTTTTCAAATTAAGTTAAAAATAGTCAAAAAAGTCATAATGTCAGAGACCTGGTACTATATGAAAATAATTTTTTTGATAACAAATGTTTTTAAAATTAAATAAAACTGTGTTAAAAAAATTGAAAGTAGGATAAACAAAATATAATATGGTTTTTTACTGGGTTTTGACCCTTCCCCCCACTCCTTGTCGTAAATTTTTTACGAACCCTCCCTCCCTTCCCAAAAAACTGTCCACGTAATATATGAACGACCCCTAAACATAATTTTTAAAAAAGACTCGAAAAACCCATAGCGACGGTTGAGAAAAACGCAAGTCCGACGATTGTAGGAGAAATGGAGCATCGTTTCATGTTGTACTTTCAAAGTGGTCACAAGTTTCAGTTTATCAATTTTCCTTTTTACAGGAAAGATATAAAACATATAAAAGTTTACGAAAAATGAGTAAAATTTATGAATTTTAATAATTTCTAAAAATTATAATTATAACTGTACATGAATTTAATTATTTTCTAAAATTTTCATAAGTTTCATTGTCTTTAAGAGTATTCACAATTAACATAAGTAAAATGCCCCTACTTTTTGAGTCTTATTTACCATCCTAAAAAGGTTCATTGAGGGGGTACAAATAAAGTACTTAGAACGAATATACAATCAAATCCACTTTTACCCCATGTTCCTAAATATTTTTCTAATAAAAAAAATTAATAAAATATTCATCAAGTTTGTGTGTATTTGGTGAGAATTGTGAACACTTTTGAAGTTAATGTCAACACCCTTCATTATTAAATAACGGACATTGTCTGAATTACCAACAGATTGTGCGCACAATGCAATAATGAAAATTTTTCTTCATAGCTGGCATTTATAGAACAACAATTTTAATCAATAAAATGTTTTAAAATATCAATTCCACCTTTTCTTATAACGAGAAACTTATTCTCAATTGAAAATTTACTGGGACTCATCTGAATTGAATATTTTTGAATCTTTTCAGAATTTTTAATTCCAAAATAAAAAGAAACTCCAATGAAATTTTTTTTTGCAGAATTCGATTCATTCATTTCGAATGATATTTATTTTCTATAAAAATAATTTTAATTACAGACTTCGCACTCGATAATTAATTTTTAAAAAGTAGCAAAAAGTATCTTTCAAACTAGAAAAAGTACTTAAAAAAGTAGTTATCGAAAAATTAAACTTGACGACTAAAAAAAAATCGTTTTAGACAGTTCACAAAACTGATAAAAATAACATGTTCCATATTTTTTATTTTCCTGACTTTTTCCTAATTTTTAACGAAAATATTTAAATTTTTAAATAATTGCTTTTTTTCGACTAATTTTCGGCAAAATCTAATTTAAATATATTTGAATTCTTGCGAAATTTTTACTATTAATAAAAAGAATTATATTCTTACGAAGATTTTTATAAAATTTTTTTTTAAATAATTGAATTCCTAAAAAGCATTTTATTATTTATCAAAATAATTAAATTCTTGCAAGAGATTTTATTAGAATTTTTTTAAATAATTGAATTTACAAGAAAAAATTTATTACTTTTAAAAATAATTGAATTCTTGTGATGAATATTGTTACTTATGAAAATAATTGAATTTGCAAAGAATTTTACTAAAATACCTAAAAATTATTGAATTTTCCCGTTTATATTGTCAATAAATAAATAATTTAAATGAATTTTCGAGAATAATTTTGTTATTTTTTGACAATAATATTGAATTTTTTAGAAGAATTATTTATGTAAGTAATTGAATTCTTGGGTAGAATTTTATTAAAATCTAAAAGAATAATTAAATTATTTTTAAAAAATTTAATTGAATTCTTGTAAAATATTCTAATATTTTTGTAAATAATTGAATTCTTCCAAAAAAAAAATAAATAATTGATTTTTTCGAGGAATTGAAATTAAAATTTTAAGAACAATTACATTTTATCAGCAATAATTGAAATTCTGCGATGAATTTCATTATTTATGAAAATAATTAAATAGTTGCAAATAATTCTATTAAAATTTTCAAAAATAATTGAATTCTTGTGATAAATATTGTTATTTATGAAAATAATTCAATTTTGCAAAGAATTTTATTAAAGTGCCTCAAAACAATTCAATTTTCGGAAAAGAATTTTATTAAAATCTTAAAAAATAATTGAATTATTTCAAAAAAATGTAAATAAAATTGAATTTAAAATAATTGATTTCTTTCGAACAATTTTTTTTTAAATTTTCAAAAATAATTGAATTCCTGAGACAAATTTTATTATTTATAATAATAATTGAATTGTTGCGAAAAATGTTGAAAAAGAATTGAATTTCTGTGAAAAATTTTGTTATTTTTGAAAATAATTGAATTCTTCATAAAAATTTTATAAACATTGTTTTAAACAATTAATTTTTTGGAAATATAATAAATATTATGAAATTTTATTTTTAAGAATTGAATTTTTGTAGAAAACTTTATTTGTGAAAATAATTGAATTTTTTAATTAACTTGCTTAGAATTTTATAAACATTTTTTTTTTTAAATTTAATTCCATGAAAAATGTTTTTATTAGTGAAAGTTATTGAATTATTGTGAAGAATTGTATACAAATTTTGTTAATTGATTTTTAAAATTTTTTTGAAAATGATATTCTAAATCAATTAAATTTCTGTAAAAATTTTATTATTTATGAAAATTATTGAATTTTGATGAATTTTATCAATTTTTTTTTAAAATAATTGAATTTCGAATATTTCAAAAAATAATTGAATTGTTTTGAAGAATTTGATTATAATTTTAAAAAATATTTTATTGATTTCTAATATTAGCGAATTTAAAGTAGTGGAAATAGTAAAAAAAAAACAGAAATTAAAGCTTTTAGTGGCTGAAATCTAAAAAATGTACCCAAATAGTAGCATAACGTAAAAAAAGTAGAAAATAGTAGGTTTTAGTAGATGAGTGTGAAGCCTGTAATTAATTTTAAAAATAAAGGAAGAACAATTGTAATTAAAAAAAAACGAAGCGAAAAAGTCCGTCAGTCAATTTACTTCGTTAAATATGGCCAAAAGGAAAAAGGTGTCACAATCGGCACTTTTCCCACACTTAAATCTGCCTCCATGATAATTTTTGTAGGTGCTTTAATCGTAGATGATGACCACACTTAAAATTCAATTTTTGTGTATTTTCCACCCCTCATAAATGTATATTTATGTATAATTATTTTCTTACAATTAGTTGCATATGAAAAGAAACTATATTAAACTGTGAAATACTCATATAATGATTGCGTGAAAAACATTTAATCAAATAAATTTATTAAATATTTACTATCTTTACACAATTGTCACTAAACTTTGCTTTTAAATACTCCAAACATTGCAAGTAAATATTTAATAAATCTTTATAGGAACTTTTCGGTGCTCAGGGAGGTCATTTTACCTATGTTTATATTGTGGATACTCTTTCTTTTCCGCATTTACGTGTACCATCAGATTTTTAATTCCATTCTAATCCAGTATTCTTATCGGAAATTATTTCGTATTTATACTTACTCTCTTGAACGATTTTCTTGATCACTGCTGTAAACGCTTTCATTATCACTACTGTTTTCATCATAGAAGTAGAGATCGCTACCACTTGAACTTCCCGTACTCCCTGATGGATAAGAGGATATTTGTGCTGATATTGTAGGAAGAGTTGTCATATTATTGGCATTATAATGTGTCGATAGGCCTGGAATTCCAGTGTTTCCCAAAAAACTATGAGCTTCATAAAAATATTGTCGGTTTATCATATCCAATTCCAAATTATCCACCGAATACATTTTCATATTCATAAATGTAAATTTTTATTTTGAATTTCGTCTCGAAATATTTCCTCTTTCCGCTTCCAATTCTTTCAATTCTTGACGATAATTTTTAAATTATAATTACGACTTAATACTTTGAGTAAAAGTGTATCACATTATCTTACATTTACTTATAGTAGAAACTTATGAATAATGACTGGATTCTCTGACTAGATAGATTTCCAATAATTTTATATTTGTCACATTATTTTTTCATATTTTCGTATTAAAAAAGTTGTACATTCGATGGTTACGGCATTTCTTAATCCGCTTCACCTTCGTATTACCAGTATAAGAATTTGAAACCCTTTAAACGCCATTCAAGCACGTTCTGGTAAATAATCGACACGTGTCGCACGTGTGCCGAAAAATTCCTGTAAATAACAACGCGTGCTGTACACGTGTAGCACTGATTTAAATCAACACTTGATAATTGTTCGCGATTATGGCACTTAAATATTTCTTTCATTCATTAAACCAAAAAGGTAAAGTGTAAAGCGATTTTTAATAATTTTTCCACAACTTCGCAAACAAATTTATTTCATGTCTTATTAACATTATCGACATTTCTTCACTGACATTTTTTTACATTTCTTCACTGACAACATTATTGCAATGTTAATATTTGAGCGAATGATTCCAAATCACGTGATCACGTTATTATTTATTGTACCCACAACAATAAATGTTAATATTTCTTTTAATAAAAATTGTTCTTCTTTCTTCATTTTTTTTACACTAGCAACACAATTTTATTATTTCAATAACCAACGAAAAAGCAGTCGATTCCATTAGCACCGGAAGTATCGCAACATATCCAAAACTAATTATGTGTCTCCCCTCACGACCCCGTTTCAAAAAGTTATGATTGCTCAGGTGGTTTAACTATATACTGAAACTGAATCCAGAATTAAATGGAAACCATGCTGGAGGGGCTGAAAATGAACTTGTACCTGATTCGTCCAATCGGAGGGTTTTGAATGCCAGACGCTCGAGCGTTGTCCTGGATGCAGAACCGCCTTTTTATTGATCTATCAAACAACTATAGAATCGAACTATATATTTTCTATCAGAATGACATTAAAATGATGTATATCGTCATGGAGAGGGGTCATATATTAATGATTAGATGCTATTATTTTTATAATAACTTTTTTATTTCATTAATTATAGACCGTACTATCAAGAGTATTATCAAAATTATGCAATTTTAACTCGTTTTAAGGTTTACTTAAAATAAGAGCAAATAGGATCATAGTTATCAGAATTCAAACATTCTCTTCAAATATTAATACGTGTTTCGGTTTATCGATACTCGTAAATTTCTTCGACATCCTGTTTTATAAAACAGGAAGAAAAGTTGTAATCCTTTCCACACAGGGTACTCATCAATATTGCAAAAATGTACAACAATGAAGTGTTATTTTTAGCCAATAATAGTTTTTCATCCTCCTATAGTTGCTTTCTGAATAAACTGCGAATTTTGTGAAATGATTTGTACAATAATCATAAAGTGCATATTTGATGTGAAAAGGCGCACAATATGAATTAGCCGGTTCATCGATTCGGGCATCACCTGCAGGTACAATTAGGATATGCCTGAAAAAAGAACATCTATTGTCATCCTTAATCCTACAATTTAATCGAAGTTATAACTTTAATTAAGATTAGGTTTTAAAATAGTTATACACTGAGAAAAAAAATTGTAGGTTCAATAGCACCAATGCTATTGAATTCAATTTACATAGAATCTTTAGTTGCGAAGCTCAATAAAGTTGAATTAATTCTTTAAATTTCGACTGTTTTTCAATATTTGACGTGAAAGTTAACTGAACATTGTATTAAAGCGTAAAACTTCTTGAACTCTTTTGCAATGTTCAGTCAACTTTTACGTCAAACATTGAATAACAGCAAACATTTAAAGAACAACTTCAAGTTTCATGAGCTTCGCAACTAAAGATTCTGAAGGTTGCAGTCAAGTTAATTTCAACTTACAGGAAATTTTCCGTGCTGTATGGGTAATTTCTGTATTGGATTAAGTAAATATATATTAAAATATAATAATTCATAATTTACAACTAGAACCATAATGTTTTCTAGTGAAATATTTTGGTTGAGAAATAGGATTGAAATAGGTATTAAAGAGCAAAAATATGTTTATTTCTTAAAACTTTTTTTTTAGAAAAGCAATACACATTTGATAATTCAAACATACATACTATGAATTTAAAATAAAATAGAAGTCAAATTACTAATGCATTTCTTGATATTATAGCATTCTCTTGATAACACTAACTTCTGTAATAATAAAATACAAAACGAATTTGAATCTTATAGTGCAGTTGTGTTATTAAACCAACAGTATTTGCCCACACAGCACTGAAACTTTCCTAAAAATTCATTAAAGATTTTTACTTGCAAACTTCGAAGAACTTACCTGCAAAGTTTAGTGAAAATTGTGTAAAGATTTAAATTTTCCACTCGGAAGGGTTAAATTTCCGCCATATTAAATCCGCTATTTTGAATTTTTTAAATCTGACTCCAAATTCGTAATCAGAAATCCCAATACCACTGGAAAAAGAAGCGTTGTTAAAATATATTCACTAAATTTTAATGAAATAATTAAAATTAAATTAAGTTTGTTACATAACTGTTTTTTATAAACAGTCAGTGTTCTTCATATTGTTTAAAATAAATATTACTACTTATTGGAATTTATTATTTTTTTAATTGTAGCAGCATTCATTTGAAATAGAAAGAAATTTACCGCAAATTAATTGGTTGACTTTTATAAAAGTTACATAAAATTTTCTAAGTGGGACATGTATGTCCCATATTGGTGCTGAGCGCGAATTATAATGTTGACAGGAATATAAATATAAAATACCGCGATTTTGAAAAGAAACAGTAAAAAATTGTTAAAAAATTATATCAGTATTTGCTTATAATTAATCCAAACTTTCATAAAAATTTATTAAAGATTTACTTGCAAGCTTCGGAGTATTTACTTGCAAAGTTTAGTGCCAATTGTGTAAAGATTTAAATGTCCCACTTCAATAAATGTTTATCGTCAAACTTTCCTGAAAATTTATAGCTTGAAACTTTCCTGAATATTTAAATTAAATTTTCGCATATATAGATTTAGGCGAAAATTTTATTTCAATTTTTAGGAAAGTTTCACTTTAAACATTTATTGAAGTGGGACATTTAAATCTTTACACAATTTTCACTAAAATTTGCAAGTAAATTCTTCAAAGTTTGTAAGTAAATCTGTAATAAATTTTTAAGAAAGTTTCGGTTCTGTTTGGGGTTGCTTTGAAAGTGTCTAAGTCACTTTGTAAGTAACTTGTAACTGTAATGAGTTACTTTTTACTTAACTGTAACTTAGATACTTTTTTTAATAAGTAACTTAACCGTAACGAGTTTCTGAAAAAAGTAAATTAAATGGTCAACTTTGGCTCTCTTAATAAATTTTCCGGGTAAATGTTTAAATTCTTTCTTATTTTTAGATAAATTTATAAATGAATTTATTAATTTAAATTCATTTTTAATACGGCTAGACGTGATTAGGAATCCCTATGCTAGAAACGAAACGATTAAAATCTTATCCGTTTTAACGCGACCTTTTCTACACATAAGCGTTTAAGTACTTCTATACCTTATAATACTTTTTAAGCCATCCCCTATATCACTGTATATTCTTATTGTATTCGTTTATAAACCTTACCTACGTTAAAAAAACATGCATTATCGCCACGATCTAATAATTTGATTATAAAGAATCGAATAATTTAACGCTTGATTCAAGCAAAAAGAAACCTAGTAGTTATCAGATGTAACTGATCAGTTTAATCAAAAAATTCATTCCACCTTACATTTATTGGATCTCGCTTGAGGGTATCACAAACTGGATATTTTTATTTTCGAACCGTTTGTAAAAAAATGTTTCTATTTCTTTTCAATTTTTTACAATCTAATCGGTTTACATTGATAGTTCAGCTCTCTCTCTAATCCTTATCAGTATATTTGCTTTTAATTAATCCGAACTTTCCTAAACATTTATTAAAGATTTACTTGCAAACTTCGGAGTATTTACTTGCAAAGTTTAGTGACAATTGTGTAAAGATTTAAATGTCCCATTTCAATAAATGTTTAGCGTGAAACTTTCCTGAACATTTATTGAAGTGGGACATTTAAATCTTTACACAATTGTCACTAAACTTTGCAAGTAAATACTCCGAAGTTTGCAAGTAAATCTTTAATAAATTTTTAGGAAAGTTCGGAATTAATTATAAGCAAATACTGATATACATTATATATAATAATCGTCGTGATTCCAGATTTCCGGATCTCTGTCCACACTTGAAGTTAGTTATAGTTATTCTTTTGTTTTTTATACGTTTTGATAGAAAATAGAAATATACATATACATATACATACATTATAATAATCGTAAGTTTCCTTTCCGTTAGCAAATTATCTGCATTCATTTGTTTGTTTTGAAAATTTAATTTTGTGGGTTAAGTATTGGCATTTTTTATATATTTTTTAATGTCAAACTTTTTAATGTGGAAAATACTTTACTTATTTAATAGTCTCGACTCTTTGGTAAAAAATCTAAAATTATCAAAAATTCGAAAAATTTCAAAAATCCGATTTTTTTAAAATTCAACATTTTTTCCACTCTTTTATGGGATTTAGCTTTATTATTTTTGTGCTTTTGGAAAATACTTTACTTATTAAATTGTCTCGACTCTTTGGTAAAAAATCTAAAATTATCAAAAATTCGAAAAAATTCAAAAATCCGAATTTCTTAAAATTCAACATTTTTTCCTCTCTTTTATGGGATTTAGCTTCATTATTTTTGTGCTTTTGGAAAATACTTTACTTATTGAATTGTCTCGACTCTTTAGTAAAAAATCTAAAATTATCAAAAATTCGAAAAATTTCAAAAATCCGTTTTTCTTAAAATTCAACATTTTTTCCTCTCTTTTATGGGATTTAGCTTCATTATTTTTGTGCTTTTGGAAAATACTTTACTTATTTAATAGTCTCGAATCTTTGGTAAAAAATCTAAAATTATCAAAAATTCGAAAAATTCAAAAATCCGATTTTCTTAAAATTCAACATTTTTTCTTCTTTTTTATGGAATTTAGCTTCATTATTTTTGTGCTTTTGGAAAATACTTTACTTATTAAATTGTCTCGACTCTGTAGTAAAAAATCTAAAATTATCAAAAATTCGAAAAATTTCAAAAATCCGTTTTTCTTAAAATTCAACATTTTTTCCTCTCTTTTATGGGATTTAGCTTCATTATTTTTGTGCTTTTGGAAAATACTTTACTTATTAAATTGTCTCGACTCTTTAGTAAAAAATCTAAAATTATCAAAAATTCGAAAAATTTCAAAAATCCGTTTTTCTTAAAATTCAACATTTTTTCTTCTTTTTTATGGAATTTAGCTTCATTATTTTTGTGCTTTTGGAAAATACTTTACTTATTTAATAGTCTCGAATCTTTGGTAAAAAATCTAAAATTATCAAAAATTCGAAAAAATTCAAAAATCCGATTTTCTTAAAATTCAACATTTTTTCCTCTCATTTATGGAAATTAGCTTCATTATTTTTGTGCTTTCGGAAAATACTTTACTTATTTAATAGTCTCGACTCTTTGGTAACAAATCTAAAATTATCGAAAATTATCAAAAATTCAAAAATCCGATTTTCTTAAAATTCACCATTTTTTCTTCTCTTTTACGGGATTTAGCTTCATTATTTTTGTGCTTTTGGAAAATACTTTACTTATTTAATAGTCTCGACTCTTTGGTAACAAATCTAAAATTATCGAAAATTATCAAAAATTATTAAAATTATTAAAA